TGGATAAGCCGTCTTATCGGCTTTCCTCTCCCCCGGGATAAATATGTAAATCCTATCCTATCAAACATTACATTTCACTGGCGCTTAGTTGATGACGATTGGATAGGATAGGATTTACATATTTATCCCGGGGATAAGGAAAGCCGATAAGACGGCTTAACCATATGGCGAACATGGCTCTTCGTCCGGTTACCATTCCATGTCGGGTATGGCGTTAGTTAGTTATTTGTTTCCGGAAGCATGGCCTTGATGGTAGAGGAAGCCATACCCGACCAGTGGTTACGTGAACCACCCTACGGCGAGGAGTCCAGGAATCCCCTCGCTCACCTCCATCGGATTGAAACCTGCGAACCCACGCAGAGTAATCAGAGTCGGGATGGTGAGCGTATTCCTTACGTTTAGCACAATGACCCACACCACCGCGCCAATGCTTTTGAATTTATCATCGATTATTTCCAAATATCAATTTCCTTGTATTTTTCTCACCAAAAAGGCAACATTGACGTAACAATTTAAATAAGTGAAGCAGAGGGATTTTGAGGCGTGGAAGTTAAGACAAACATCCATTGAGTTAGAGAAGTGATAAATCAGCTTTAAATGCATGTAAGTCGTATTTTCATTTCCCCGAAATCAAAAGTCAAAATGTTTACCAGAAACCTAAATTTTTCAAAAAATATAACTTTTAGTGTTTCCTATTAAACTTGGTTATCCCAGATTCTGAGCCGATTTCGAATAATTCGGAGAAGGTTGAAACCTACGACCGCAAATGAACATATCTATTGAGGAGTTGAATTTTGAATTCCGAGTCGATTTTTTGATTGGCTAAAGCAGGATAAAAATTTGATACCTCCGTTTCACTAATATAAATACAGCCGGAGTTCAATTCCTTTTCATATCGGAGTCTGTTTTATTGCATAATTAGAATCCGGATAAAATTCGGCCTTCGCAGTTTAAGCGATAGCAGTCTATTTTTGAAATCGGACGTCTCAGTTTTTGATGGTTAGAATCCGGTTTGAACTCACAAAGGCTTTGCTAAATCAACACTACATACCTACGTTGTATCCCCAGTTGTGAGTTGTTATCACTGGGAATCTTCGTCGTCTTGGATTCATTTTCCATGCTAGTGACGTCATAAAGTTAACATCTTCCTTCTATAATGAAGTATTGATATGATATATAATGACGCAACATGAATGTTTATTACATTATGACGCCACATACCTGGCAAGATGGCAGAATTATCGTTCGCTCAGACGGTCCGCCTGAATAAATTAAAGTAGTTTGAATGGTATTCCCGTAGCATGGAAACCAAGATGGCGGTCACCGCAACAAAGTATGTGTACCAGGTTAGAATTAGGCCATAAATTTAGGTAAAAATATTACGGGAGTCACTTAACTAGTCCCCGAACTCGTATAAGGACTAAAATAAGGAAAATTGGAATAAAATTATGGTCTAACCCTAACCTGGTACACATACTACGTTCCGGTGGCCGCCATCTTGGTTCACATACTACGGGAGCGCCGTTTAAATAGGTGACAGGGGCACTTTTAAGTACAAAAGTGTTTAGGAAGAATGAATGAGAAGATTTGGTGCTATACTATAGCGTGATATCTACCTCCACTAAGTACCATGCGGAGACCTTGAGTACCGTACTTCCGTAATACGTGTACCAGGTTAGGGTTGGCCATACTTTTATTTTGATTTTCCTTATTGGACACGAAGTGGACATAACGATCGTTTCAATATTATGTTGTTCTTGTTCTTTGACACGTTTTTAAAAAGTCGCTTTTCTCTTCGAATACTGGACCAATTGCTTTGAAATTTTCAGTGGTTGAAGATTAATTTTTTCGCTAGAAGGCTATTACTTTTATTTATTTCAAAATTTTGCGTGAATTCTATGAAATTTGATATTTCCTCTAAAATTTTGCTGTATTATTTTTTATCCATGAGAACACGGATTTTAGTCAGTGTCATGACTGGCTGTACGTTTTGATTCTGCAAAATTCTTGCTACTGGAAATTCAGAACTTTTTTGAGGGTACCGGTAGCGTCAAAGGTACCGGTAAGGACTGATTCGCTCTGGTCTGACGTGTCCATATATTTGTGCGTAGCTCTCTTGTTTTATTTCTATTGCGAGTTTGGGAACTGTCTGTACACATACTTATGTAGCGCCAGTCCTTGTTCTACTCACCACATCCTGTTCTTGATGGGATTGGTAAGATTCCTTTCGCCGGTGATCTTTTCGTCCATGGATGTTTTACTCCTTGCCGTGACAAATTTGACAAGGTAAAATCTAATTTGTACGCGGATTGACAAGTTGATAGTGGGGTTTTGTCTTCGCTCATTTTGCTGTTTATCACGTTGTTACTTCGGTTTTGTATTTGCCTCGAAGTGACGTCACATACTGGTCGATAACATATCCGTGCCAAGTGGATTGCCTTTTGTAAAATGAACAACATAGCGTAACTCTAATGTATGGACACAAGCTCGTGCATTGAGTTTGCTGAAGAGATCGCTAGTCAAGCGATATGGAATCCGAAATGTTCTCCTTTGTTCATTTAAATTATTACAGCAAAATTTTGGCTGAAATTTCGTGCCCAATGGAGATTAAAAGCTGTTTTCCATTCCTTGCAGAGAGAAGTGATTTTTTCCAACAGCAGTGAAAGTAAACCCCGATAAAAACAAGCGAGAATTTAGCAGAATAATACATATGCAAACTTCTTGTTCAACAAGAGAACATTACTTTACAATGTCGTCACGAAAGTAGTGCCGCACTATACATACTGAAATTGGGCCCAAATCATATTTATGGTGGACAAGATTAGGGCAAACCTATTATTATTTGGATCTCCTGAAGTATGCGCACCAAGATGGCTCACAACCTGAACGCATACTTCAGGAGAATGGACACTGTAATAGCTTACCTTGTGCGATTGTGGATTATGACGTCGTGTTGGTGACGTAGGGCGCATCAATGTTTTGCTGACTATTTTATGAATAAACTGATCGTTGTAATTTGAGACCGGCGGCTTAAGTTGAAACGTTGCAAGTAAGCTAAAACGGTTATGGTATATTTTAGGAAACAGTTTTTTTTTCTTTGTACCTCATGTTGTATGAAAGAGAAATATCTGGGTAACGTATGGAAATGATGGGCTTCTTCCACAAATACGGTACTACAAATTTTGAATTTTATTGTTCCATTTGTTTAGAAGGAAAGCAATTTTTCATAACCCCAATAGCATTTTAGCAAAACTCTCCATAATTTCTGTCCGATAATTAAATGTTATTGCTATTTTTCATCGATCAAATGAAGATGAAAAGCCAGTTTTTTGAAAGACTTGTGAAAAACTTCTAATCGGTGCATTTATCACATTTAAATGGTAAGGCATCCTAGACAGCAAGATTTATAATTGAACTGTTTTATTAGCTTTCTTCTTTGCGAAAATATATTTTCCATATAAAAAAGATAGTTCAATAGGCGAAAAAAGAATAGATAAACCAAGAATAGATAAACAGTGCAATACAAAACAAACACTTTTATTGTGCAAACACATATTTATCAGACATAGCCAACCAAGGCTAATAGAATCCATATTCGATTTTTAGTTTTCTATGATGCCTATATTGTTAGCATATATTCCCGACCAAAAATATGGAAATCCAGGTAATAATTTAGACTGCCAAGAACATCATTTAAGCTTCGCTAGTTGCCTCAGCTAGCTATAACACTAATCAATTCAGTGACATTAGATGATGTAACAATATGTCAAAAGATTTTTCTGATTAATTTTATTACGAAACAACACGAATTACGATTTTTTGATTACTCTCCGAATGTGACGCGGGCCACAGAAAATGAATCCGCGGGCCACATGTGGCCCGCTGGGTTTGAACCACCCTGGCCTAATGTATAGATCAGGTAGTGCTTTGTTACCTCGACTTCAACCAGTAACGGTAGTACTTTAAAATCCGTTGCTTCTCATATCACGATGCGCCTTATGCACGAACAAGAACGCAATCGATGCGCCTTATGGTCGTAAAATACGGTAGTTAACCGGTTCATCGTTTCAGACATGTACTGCACATAGCCAAATAGAGTTATTTTAATTAAAAATGATTCTTTTTAACTTACTTGTTATTTTCTTTTGCAAACGGGTATACAAACGGTCGTTGAGCAGAAAGATTCCCGTCTTTTCCCGACTGATTAAATTGCACTGAATTTGGAAATTGACGAAAATCGATCACTGACATTTTGATTAGCTAATATTTCACGATCAATATGGAATTAACTTTTATGATTGTCCTATCGATTTATGCATTTTTCTTTTAATTAAAATAATTTTGATTTTGCACGGATTTTTATTGATTCAACATTGATTATGACGTGATACTACTGCATAAGCTTTATGTGTATTCACGTAAACTAAGCTTTTTCCAGCTTTAGTGACTAAGGAAGCGAATTGTTTTACTTACCTCAGATGAAGTAGAAGAATTGCAGTGTCTACTTATTATTTATTCATTGCTCACGCAATAACTGTGAATAAAGCGTTGGTTTATATTCGCAAAAGACTATATTGGCCGTTTTATTGATGACAAAGCTAGAATTTTCATATTTATCCCGGGAGAGGAAAACAGATAAGACAACTTAATCATTTAGCAAATCACGGCCATTCGTACGGTGACCAGTATCTGTCGATTATGTAGGTATGGGAATAGAAACCGGTTCTTTATTTCAGATGAATAAACTAATGAGTCTTTAGTTACGTGTGTAATATACCCAAAATTGTAGGAATATGAGCTTAATCGTCAGAAAAGTTATCAATAATAGAAAACTTGTGGTATGGGTTAGCCAGATTTCATGTGAATATGCATCTCCAAATAAAATTAAAAAAAAAGTCATCATGTTTTCATATTCGGATTGAATGCTTTTGTCTCCGACTACCACGCTTGAAACACGTCACATGTTTAGACATGCATGATTGATCTCAAAATCGATTGCGACGAGCTTTAATATATTTTTTTAAAGTCTAAATTCTGGTTCTGTTTTATTTCGTTCGCTAACACGTTAGGTTTTATTTATTTTATTAAACATAAGAGGCATGGCAAGCCCTAGAACACGAAGAGTTTTAAAGGAATTGAAGCCAAAGTACGGCAATAAGGTATGTGTTACATTACTGTAAATACTGTCGGGTTGATGTCTGCATGTAACGTTATGCCTATTTCGGTATTTGCCGTGCTCTGGTACACCTGCATTTTAAGACCAATTGAAGTAAATAGAGAATATCTCATCTTTTTTTCATTTAGCCTCTATTCAATGTCATACACTGGGCTTGCTTATTTCTGCGTTTAATTCTTTTACAAGTTTATGCTTCATGTTTTGAACCTCATTTAACTGTTTAAAGTTTTAACAACTTTACTGAGTTTTGGCCAGTGCATTTGTCATGTGTATTTTTATTTTTGTCTCTTAACTGACACATCTGCACATAATAAACTTCTGTAATCAATACCTGACTGATCGATTTCTCCGACTTGCTGAAGTCTGTTCGTTTTGTCTTCATAAGTACTGAAGTATAATTTATTTGGACTCCATAATGAACATAACAGATAATTGAATAATTATGTAATTGACATAACACATTTCTGAGTCTGGATAGCAAACAATACCTTTTGTAAGGTTTAAAATAGTTTTTTTTGGAATAGTTTGCTGAGGGCGGAAATCAAAATTAATTATTTAATTAAGACAAATAAAAATACAACTATACATTTTCTTTTAAGATAAGTTTATTTTGACTTCATAATCAGCATAAAGGCGATAAAACGGTTGATAAAAACAAACAAATAAAAACTGATTATGAAATCAGGAGAGTAAACAAAACCTTGAATAAGGTTTAAAACGTACAGAATATAAGATGGCAGGTATTGCCCAAAAAAAGTGGGACGTGTTCACTCGCCCAAAAGTACTGAGATAATTCATACACACTCGCACACACACACACATACACAACCATGGGTCATTAGAAAAAAGAAAGAAGCTTTAGATAAATTATATGGTAACAAAAAAATAGATAAATAAACACGTAAAAAAGACATTAGAATAAAAGATAAGAAATGTAATAAAAAATAAGAATTGTTGGCCGCACCATTTTAATAATTTTATAAAAATTCCCAAACAAGAGTGAACATTACTTGATATAGAGACAAAAAAAAAAGATTTCGCCAAGCTGATGATAATTGGAGTCAAATGCCGAATTGCCCAACCAAAGTTGCCAAAGTCGTGTACATGAAGAGTATATATCTGTTCTTTTCTTTGTATTGTGATCTACATCCTTTTTTTCAGACTTGTTTTGAATGTGGTGCTCTGAATCCGCAATGGGCATCAGTTACGTACGGAATATGGATTTGTTTAGAATGTTCTGGAAAACATCGCGGGCTCGGAGTTCATTTAAGTTTTGTACGTTCTACTACAATGGATAAATGGAAAGATATGGAGCTGGAAAAAATGAAGGTTTGTAATAATTTTCTCTATTTCGAAGAACTGTCAGGTCATCCATTAGTAAATTTTGTTTTTGCTTGCCCGGTGAAAAAAACGTGGTGCAAAGGTGGTCGTGAGGCGCATTATGTACTAAATTTTAGCGATTCGTAAATTGGCCGAAAAACTCTTCGAATAATTTGCGATTCGATTTTGAATATTCGGTTCGCTTGGACAGCCCTAATCTTAACTTAGCGGTTGTGCTGAGCGTTAGGACTACGCTTGATAACACACCTCTAATCACCCTGCGTGGGTTCGCAGGTTCGACGTAAATTCAATGTATTTTTTCCTCTTTTTAACAGTAACCTATTATTAATATGGATATTTGTGAACAATCACATTGTGGTTCTTGGATTCTTTCAAATTTCTCCAATTCAACTCACTCTCCACTACATATATTCCAATCTAGTAGGCTATTGAATGTTTTAACCTGTTTTCTTTTTTGCCACGACAGGCCGGTGGAAATGAAAAAGCCAAGGATTTCTTCAAATCACATGATGATTATAACGATGGTTGGGATTTACAGCAGAAGTACAACAGCAAAACGGCGGCTTTATTACGAGATAGGGTAATACTGGATTGGATTATTATTCATTCCTATCGAAGCTAAACTATTCCCATATTTAGCATTGCCTGACTACAGAACTATTGGCCATGGCTGAGCATATAATTAAGTCATCTTATAAGATGTCGGTTTTACTCTAGGACAGGGCTACTCAACTATTTTCACTAAAGGTCCGTTTACAAAACTTTAAAATTACTGGGGTTCGCACATTTCAGAAAAATTATTTTATGAAATAAACAAATGCATTATTAAATTAAATACAAGAGCAATGAATGGCTCACAAGTAGTGCAAATTGGTACCAGTACGGCAAACTGTATAGAAATGTATGTTAATAGTATGTTATGTATGTTAACTATGAGACGATGCTTATGCTGCAGACGCGGTTCATATTGAATGGTCGAAAGATCCGAATTCGAACCGCGGTCCGCCAGTTGAGTAGCCCTGCTCCAGGATACAGTGAAAATGAAAATATCCTGTGTTATATCTAGGGATGAACAATTCAGAATATTGCATCTAGGGGGGTTCGAATCTAAAAGGATAGGATCCTAGGATTCGAACTAGCGGACGAACTAGAGCAGGGGTTCCCAAACCAGGGGTCGCGACCCCAAATTGGGTCGGAGTGATAAGTAGGTAGGGTCGCAAACAGGTCATGGGGTCGCTGAGGTATGGTAGAGGATGGATGTACAAAACATCTAAGATTTGACAAACCAAGTTAAATTTAGCAGTTTGTACCATGGCTTACTGTAAAACAGGCTCATAGGCATCGCTCTACTGTCTGGTTTTAGCTTTTCTTACTTAATACCACCACATGATCAAACTCAAAAGTCCAGTGAAAGAAGCTCTAAAGTTTCATGAAAAATATATGTATTGACCTGGGGTCGCACTGGAAACTTGAAAGTTGTATTTGGGGTCGTCCTGAAAAAAGCTTGGGAACCCCTGAACTAGAGGCTGTGCTTGCTATAAGATTGATCTGTCTCATTGCTTCAGTTGTGCCAGGATAGGAACAGGAACTGATTCTACAAATGATTAAGCCTTCTCATATATAAACGCTTAGAAATCATGGATTGCTCTACTGCTATAGTTTAATAATACTTTCTATTCTTAGATTTCAACAGAAGCTCGAGGTGACTGTTGGAACGAATCAACATCAGAAGCGCAGAAATATATTGCGCCGAAACCTGGCGGGGGAGGACTTTCCATGACACAAAGGTATTTGTCAATCTGTTGTCGTTTTCTTGACTGTGTGGACTTGAAATTTGTTTAGTGGATCGCTATCTCTTGTTTACTTCTACCTTCTAACTCTTCTATCAGTACTTTTTTCGTTTCAAGTAACTGGCTCGGGACCTTGCTTCAAGGAAACCTGCAACTTTTCTATCAGTAACACTACTGCTAAAAATAAGCTACAATTAATAGATAGTAATGCGAAAGTAATATAACAGATAAGTTGACAACAACTAAACACTAAAACGAGAATATCGGTCGAAGACTCATCGATCGAAGGTTAGGGGATTCCCCAAAACAGCGCTCTTACTCCATAGTGACACCGTGTTCCATCACTAATTAATTAATAACTCGCTAATTATACGACATAATTCGCCCAAAATCAATAGGCTTCTGGTCCGAGATAAGATGAATGCACATGCAAAATCTGGAGCAGATTCAATCTCGCCTTTGTGAGATATCGCGTGCATCTAACAGACATACAGTACTTACCGATTAAAATCGATAAGTAATAAATGCTAATGTCCAAAATAAGGCGGTCAAAATCAAATTAAACAAATATTTTTATTTTATTCCTTCCCACGCCATTCTTCTGGGATGCGCACTCCAGAAGACGCCTGGGATGCCGTCCCACTCTTTAAGAACCACTGCTTTCAACATTCATTTGAGTCGGGGGTTAAAAGCCATCGGTTCATCTCTAGCGAAAATTAACCCAAATATAATTATAACTCTTGAAATCTCTGCGATGGCTTGTGTGATTCTTCAATCTATCTTCTATAACGCAAATTAAGAAAAGCTAATCCAAAACCATCTCTATCAAGAATGAACCTAAATATATTAAATAAGGGTGCATGCATTCAACGCTTTTTTAACCGTTACTCTTTTTAGTTCTAATTGAAACCCAGAACATCACTTTAAACAAATTTGCGGAAATTGAATTCCTAACACGAATTTTTTCATTTATTTCTTGTACTCAGATCAACAGCTCAATCATCGATGTCTGGCAATGCCTCGTCGTCTGATTTTGATAATTTTGAATCGTGGTTAGACAGCGATACGTCAGCACAACTCTCATATTCAAGCAACACTAACACAGGTTTGTTTTCTTATTATTGTACATGAAATATATCAATTTTCCATGGACCCTCAGGGCATCGCAAGAGAATTTTCAGGGGTTCATAAACTTAACATGAATAATATAAAATAAAAAAATACCAAAATGGAATTACTTGGCTTCTTGGCCTAAACGTCGAATAAAGTGCAATTGTATAAATGAGGAAAAGCAGGCTGAGATGAGGGGAAAACTTTGACATTTTGTTTTTATTTTTTAGGCCTACATTTTACATACTTTAATAAGGTGTAAAGTACTCATTAACTATCACAAAAATTGGGGCTCCCGAAGTATGCGAACCAAGATGACGGACATCGAAACGTAACATAGGTAACAGGTTAGGGTTAGGCGATAAGTTTTTTCCAATTTTCCTTATTTTAGTCCTATTATCAGTTCGAAGACTAGCCAAGAGCCTCCCGTAGTATTTATACCTAAAATTATGGCCTAACCCTAACCTAGTACACATATTACATTCCGATGTCCGCCATCTTGGTTCGCATACTTCGGGAGCCCCCAAAAATTGTTAGTGTCATTTGAAGGCAGCAATTTTTCTTTCATGTAAGTCCGCTGGGAGTTTTTTTCCTTGATAATTTGGTGCCACAAACAAAATGTTTGAGAAGCACTCACCTATCTTATCAGACTGGAATTTTTCCTTTTCAGCATTGTGTATATATATCACAACCTGGCATAGGCGGCTGGCATTGGTTTTTGAATCAAAAACTTTCAACCTGTGATGGCAGCATTGTTGAGTACATTGCTTAAACTATGAGGCTATCACGCCTACCTTGCACATAGGCAATACTTAGATCAATTTCTCTTCATATGAAATAATAAGCTTCACAATTATCCAGGTTCACGATACGTAGGAATAGGAAACACACCCATGCCTGAGAAGAGAGAGGACGATCTCCTATCTGGTGCTATGTCTTCGTTAAGTATGGGATGGCAAACTGCAGCGAAATGGACGGCTTCTGCTGCAACAGCTGCTAAAGAGAATGTAAGTGACAAAGTTTAAGTTTATGGATTTAAAATTGAATATAAGAAATGATTTGATTTGTTAGTATCCAGGAAAACTTCCAATGCTCGGAATGGCAATTTTTCAAATAAAATTATTCTGAATTCTTGTTGAAATTAAGAAAATGGAGTAGAATTCCCATATTCATCTTGAGAAAGGAAACACAGCTGTAATAAGACAGCTTATTAATCCTATGATGAACCACAGTTTCTCATCCGGTTACCAGCCTATAGGAATATTTGACCAGGTATATTTGTCTCAGATGCATGGCCTTGATGATGGAGGAGTCACCCCTATGGCAGTGAGGGGTCCAGTAATCCATATTATATTATCTCCCAGTCACATCCAGCCAATTTTCTAATTAATAATCTGAACAAATATTTCTCATCTAATTCATTTTAGGCAACCCATATATTGACCATAGAAATAGTGTGAAAACAGTTAATCCACTCCAACCCCCGGAATATAAATGGGCTATTCCAAGTGACACTACGGGACAATTCCAGAAATTTTGCAAGTTGTTGGATGCAATATATTTTCACATTTTCAGCTACATGTTTTGTTTCATTGTCCAATCAGTTGCTTTATTGAATATGTAAAAAATTGCACAAAAGTTACACCCAACCTTACTTAGTAGATAAAAAAAATATAGTAAAATACTACAGGACGTGACACTAAAGGACATTTTTCCACTTCGGATAAGCGGCATCTATCATCTCTTAAAATTCTGGTGATAAATCGTTAAATGGGTGAAGAAATGTTCTACAGCACTGCAAACATTTGAACTTTATTAACTTAAATCCAGTGCGTCAATTCCATATGAAATAACTGTACCACACAATCAAACCCTTTGTGCCAGGAATCATCACAAAATATGTCAATTATACCAAAATTTCTACATTTCAGGCCATTTTTTAAAAACCATCAAAAACATGGGTGAAATTTTAAATTGTTCGATGAAATGAATGCAGTCCAATAAAAAATTACTTTTACTACACTTTTTAAAAAATTGATGGAATTCAACTTTTGCTTGGAATGGCCCAAATATGGTTGTCTGCATTTATAAGAATGATACCAGTTCTTATTCAGACACGCACATTCTCGACTTTTCTGTCATTACCTATTGAGATAAAATGTGTGATTATCACTCACATGTAATATTTGCTGCTCAAACATCTTCGTTGGCGAAAGGAATTGTGTATTTATGTTCGTGGTTAAACAACTTAAAAGCAAACAATGCAAATTGTTTTAACTCATCAGTGTGAAAAATTATTTTGATTTTGCACATCAAGACTGTTCTTGATTATAATATACCTTGTTAATTTGAATATAGACAAGGGTAAGACAGTGGTTCACAATCCTTATTCTTTTCTTGCCCACTTTCGTTGCAAAAAAAATCTGGCCCATCAGCTTCTTCATACAAGAAATAAACTAAGAAAAAAATGGAAGAATTTTTTCCACAAAAATAAACATTTCCACCTTTTTTTAATAAAAAAAAAAACGAGAATATCGGTCGGAGACCCAAGACCTATCGATCGAAACTGCGGTTTCGATTCATAACTCTATAGTGACACGGCGTGTCACATCACTAATTAATTAATAACTCGCTAATTGTACAACAAAATTCATCCAAAATCAATAGGCTTCTGATCCGAGCTATGATGAATGCACATGCAAAATTTGGAGCAGATTCAACCTCGCCTTCTAGAGATATCGTCTTCATCTAACAAACAAACAGACATACAGACAAATACCTATCAACATACTTACCGATCTTAAGATTGATAAGTAATGACCACTCAGTTCCAAAATCAGTATCATCATTCATCGCTACTTCAATCAAATTATATGAATCTGTCAATGACTTCAGCAATTTTCAATTGGTTAATGGCCCGCCCGAAGATGTTTCAGTGGCCCAGCAGTGGACCATGGCCCACTGGTTGAAAACAGATGGTTTGAAAGTAGCGCCATTAAATAACTAAACTTCCCTGTCTAGTGCTGTGCAAGCGAGGACAGAAAACTCTCGTTACTCCAACAGAAGCAGAGACTCAAATGTATTGTCGTAAACAAATTCACACAACTACAGATCACGTGGTCAAGAACTTACGCACAATAATAACAGAAGAAAGCATAATAATCATTACAGTACCAATCTGGTGTAGTACAGTTCATGTTCCGCACATTCTCTCTGTATAAGACTTAAACGAGTAATCATTGACACAAAACATTTTTCCTGAGTTCCGGCATTTCAGTTTTATATACTACTTTGGGTATCTCAAACTAAATAATTCTTTTCTTTTTTCACATTTAGGCTGTAAAGCTTGGAGCACAGGCATCAGCTGCAGCATCTGACCTTGGTTCGAAGGTCAATGAAAAGGTCGTGAAACCGACACAAACTAAAATGAAAGAAGGCAAAATGATGGATGATATAACATCCAGCATGAGTTCCTGGGCCAGTAAGGTAAGGTTACTGTTGCAAATAATTTCTTTAAATTTTTCCTAAGTATGGCGATGGTTCCTATTCTTTTTTAATATGATATTCGTTTTCCCCCCATTTTAAAACTTCAAATTACCCCTCCTAGGAACTTTTAAAAGGAAATCCCATAGCTATTATGATACATCATTATGTATAACTCTTCTCCGTTCAGCGTTAAATCTTAAATGTATTGCTTGTATCTTTACTCAGAGATAGAAATTCTTCACTTCTGAGTTAGTGCATGCGCCCTTGCTTTCTCTTGAAAATAAGAGGTTTAAAATTAAGGAATGTTCAAAAAATTTTAAATCCGGAACTCTTTTAAAAAAAACTTTAACGAATATATTCTAAAATGGACGGAAAAATTTTAACAGAAAAATGTTACCATTGTAAACTCATAGAATTTTAATGAAGAATCTTTAGAACAGGGGTTCCCAAGCTTTTTTCAGGACGACCGCAAAGACAACTTTCAAAGTGTCCAGTGCGACCCCGGGTCGATCTATATATATTTCATGAATCTTTAGAGCTTCTAGACTTTTGAGTTTGGTCATATGATGGTATTAAGTAAAATAAGCTAACACCAAACAGTGATGTCACAATAAGCACCTACATTTTCTTCAGCAAAAGCATACGGCGATGCCTATGGGCCTGTTTTACAGTAAGCCATGGTACAAACTGCTAAATTAAACATGGTTTGTCAAATCCTAGATGTTTTGTACATCCATCCTCTACCATACCTCAGCGACCCCGCCGACCCCATGACCTGTTTGCGACGGTACCTACTTATCACTCCGACCCAATATGGGGTTGCGACCTCTGGTTTGGGAACCCCTGTTTTAGATGGACATTGTTTCAATTAATATTCTTTCATTTCTCAGTTGTTTCTAAAACTTATTTTTTTCTTTCTGCTTTTCCCAGATGAAAGTAAGAATTTATTTTTAGTGTGATGACCTCATAAATGTTTCGTTTAATTTGTTGTTGGGCCAATCTGTCTGTTTGAGGTGTTTGTACTTGTTTGTCTTTGTCTCTTAGTTTTTTAAGGCTTTTCATTCATCCTGGGGGGGGGGGGGGGGGGGGGGGGGAGTTACTTGTCACGTCTACTCGTCACGGCCAAATATGTTTGCGACCCCAGGAACTAAAAGTAAAATTTGATAATACAGAAAATATTATAGAAAATAATTAATTCTGAGTGAGTGAGCGTAACTTTGCTCAGAAATGTGTCTCTGTTACTTCCAATATCCAAATGCGTAATGATATTTTTCTTAAAAGTGTATTTGATTTCTTGCATGTAGAAGTGAAGGTATTGTTTATTGTCTGCTGAGTGAGTGTGTCATTGCTTTGAGCAAATTATCTCAAATAGTGTAGAAATTAATCAATTATTCGAAACTTCACAAAAATAATAGTAATAATAATTTTTCGTTCTTTTTATCTGTATAAAAATTCTTTTCATTCCAGATCTCATCGTACAGTAAATCTGGACTCCAAAATATAAGCAGTGCAATGCAAGGACAGGAGGATCAGAAAAGGTAACTTCGTTATTTACTAACTAGCATAGAACATGTGCTTTCGAATGGGTTTCTGCGAAACTTATCTGTTTTCAATGCTTTTGCGTCGGTGGATCTGTATGTCTATAATGCAAGGATGCTGTAGCAAGAGTAAAGATATTTATCCTGAGTGATTCAAGAGTTTTGCTGCACAATAATCACATTTGTCTCGATTCAATTAGGATTTCATAGATCAGGGGTGTACAACAGGTGGCTCACATGCCACAACCCGGTAACCAACCAAATTAGTATAGCCTTTGTCAACACTCAAAATTTTTCCCGATCAGGCATAAATTCCCAATCTGACAGTTTATGTCAAAGATAAATAAAGCACAACGGGTGTATAGCAAAACTATATAATTTGCAGACGTTTTAAATTTCTAACGATAGTATACTCTTCATATCATGTCCTGATGAAGTTTTTCTGAAAAGAAATTCGAAACGTCGGCAAATTATAGCGTTTTGCTATACACCGGTTGTGCTTTATTTATCTTTGACATGAATATACCTGGTGGCAATCATGCGATGACAGTTTATGTTTAAATAGGGGCTCCCATGGGTAAAAACTACAGTATGTTTTTTGGCTTTGTTCCATGCGTCCATTAAAATGTTAAATAAATGAAATTTTCATTGCGAGAATTTTTTAATTCGTCATGTACATGGAAAAACTAAATATTTTTGTGTGCCCTAGCAAGATGTCTGCAAAAATGTCACACATCCTTGACTTGGAACGTTTGTAAGGGTGTCCGTGTAGTCCTATTCGTACATATCGCTCCTTATCAATTATCAGAGAAAGTTGTACAGGTCACTGCTGGAGCAAAAGGTATATGGAACCTTGAACTGAGCATAAATGAGAAAATGGTTGCTGTGATCTGCAGCACACTAGTTTAAAATATTTATTACTATCGTTCATTTTTCAGTGAAAACGTCGATACTGATTTCTGGGATCATTTTGGAACTTCAGACGATTACAAGACCTCTGTGACATCACAAAGCACAAAATATGGCAGCCAATCAGCTCCTCCGTTAGAATTTGATGAACTTACGAACCCTAAGAAACCAGCTGTAAAGAAAAATGCGGAAACGGATTGGGACCTGGAGGCGTGGCTTAATAACGATACTTCATCAACCAATGAGAAAGACTCTAAAACAGAACCGACCAATGATGATGAACTAGAGGCGTGGCTCAATGATGATTCTCAAAATTCATCCAATCAGAATAGTAGAAATGAAAAATCAACCAATCAGAACGTAGATAGACAAGATTCGTGGGGAGGGGGTTGGGACGATTCTGACTGGGATGATGTAGAAACAGAAATTGACAGTACAAGTAAAAAAACATCGAAAGCAGACTAAAAAGGGGTTGTAAAAAATGTTAAATGTAACATGCATTTTGTGGTAAATAGTCAACTTTGCATTTCCAAGACGATAAGATGGTTTAATCATATGTCAGTAAGTACTTGGGGGTTGGTAACCGATCATCTCCTTATAAGACCATCTTTCCTATTTCCCAGTTCAAATATCAAAATATTCTGAGGGTCTACATCAGTGGTTCTCAACCTTTTTTCTGTCGTGGCCCATTTTGTTGCACAAAAATTCCGTGGCTCATTACCTTTTCCATGCCAGGGTAAAACTATAAGAAAAACAAATAATATTTCCCGCAATATAGACACTGTAACTTTAATAATTAGAATGGATATTACCACTCTGCAGCAATTAACAGCAGCATCATTTATTGCTACTGCAATCAAAATTAGCTATTATTACACGAATGGAACTAAATTTACCTTTACTCTTGCAATTTTTAATAGGCTTGCGGCCCACTTGAAAATGTTCTTATGACCCAGCAGTGAGCCATGGCCATGACCCATGGTCTACATGGAAGGACCACTGATAGTAAAGTTACGAGCATTTACATTGTCTCGCGTAATCTATATTCCCGTACCAAACTTATACTGATAGGGCGGACGAGAGTTTGCTATAAAATTTTCGCAATTAGCTTTCATTTTCCAAAGGTGAATATTCATTAAAATCCTGGCCTCTCCATCTTACGCCACAAGACTCGAGCTCATAAGAAGTACTAAAGGAAGGCTACCATGAGCATTTTATTAACTTTACTCTCCGCTGTCAATCTAGCTACCTATCATAAGGTAGAAGAGTTGCAAGAAACCACTGAGAGGTGCTTTTAAACATTCCCATGTTTTTAGTGCATTGTACAATACATAGCCAATTTTATCTTGTTTTGTTTTAGATCAAATTGTGTTTTTATTTAATATTATAAGTTGTTGTAGATATGAGAATGAAAGCTTGCCATCGGGAAAATGAGAAAAAGATTCATTTTAGAATTTTAAACCTCTCTATCTTATTATTGTAATACGTTGTGAATATTGCTTCAAAATTTGATTAGAAACAGCTTTTTTTCGTAATTTTTTTAAAATATCAACATTCGCGCTTTTTGTCCTGAAACTGCCGGCATACAAATTAAGTTCGTATGGGAAGTTTTAAAACTTTTGGCTCGGACTTTCATGGCAAGTCCCGACGTGACAGAGTTTTAGAATGTGTTACTAGATAAACGAAGCCTGAATATAAAAGTATTTAAATTTAGTTAATTAACCGAATTACGCCACCCCGTAACTTCGATGCAATTTCAGTCTGAGTTTGAAGTCTAATAGTTCCCGAATATAATATGATTTAGAAGGAAAATAATACTAGAGAGTTGAGAGCATTCACTTTTAAGCCATATTTGGTCCAAATGCTAAATTCAAGCATATTATTCTGAATATATGAAATTTAATGGTTTGTCACAAATAAAATATAATTCAGAAGTTATTTGAAATCCCAAGTTTGACCCAATTAAATTTTTGGTCCGAAATTATGCTTTGGCAAGCGTTTGCGAACTGCTATTTTATTATTTTATCTATATTGTTGTCTTATGTCTGTAGGTAATATTGTAATGTTTTATTTAAATAATATATATTATGAAATGGTGGCTTTGACTTTATTAACTGCGGTACTGTACAACTGTGGTGTCAAAGGTTATGAGGCGGTTGGCACATCCGGCTAAGCATTTGGAATACACTTTGTCATCTCAACTCTGATTACCCTGGTAAGTCTGAATCCCATCAAGAATATTTATTTGCAGGAGAATTGCTAGACTCCTCATTGACAAAACAGGGTGTTTTTACTTAACTGCTAGTTTAGTAATCTTTATACACCACCAAGTTCATGCATCTAAATCAGGAGTTCGCGAACCCCCAATGGTTCACGAGAAGATTTCAAGGGGTACTTGGATGACAGTCTAGTATTTGTATGTTGCTGTTTTTTAACATCCTTTATTACTTCCATGGGAAGAAGCAGGTCCATTGAAACTAGACGCCAATTGAAACGTAGGTTTTTCCTGAATTTGCGTTGTTGTGATTATGATGCAACAATGTGAAATTCAAGGCTTTGTATACAAACTGTGAAATCTGTAAAGACAGCGTGCTGCGAGCATTGGAGAAGTGATTATGCTTATTATAATAAACTTGGGAGAGATTTTAAGAATTCATTAGTAAGGCAGATAAGGGCAATAATATCAACAAGACGATTTGACTTAGTTACCTATGGTTAATATATTGGTGTTGCAAGTCGCAACAAATTGTCAGTTAATATATTAGTATATCACAACTTTGTTCGGTGTCTGATTACCGGTGGTTCGCGTTGATTGTTTTGTGACATGGGGGGTGCTTGACAGAGGTTGAGAAACCCTGATTTAAATAATTCGCTGGACTCCTCGCCACAGTAAGGTAGCTCATGTTTCAACATCTCTCAATGGCGAGCCATGACCTTTTTGTATAATATAACTGTTGCTGTTTTTCGTGATTGTTTTGACATTGCCTTGCCGTCAATTGGTATTTACTAACACATAATTCTTCACAATATTTTGTTGGTCATAGCACCTTAGGATTTACATTTTTGTCCCAGGGAGAGAAAAATAGATAAAAGGACTTAATCATATGGCGAACCATAGCCTCTCACCCGGTTACCAGTCGATGGGATTAATTATTTCTGTTTGGAAGCATCAAATTAAAACATTGCGAAATAGGGGCCCTTCTTTGGGGTTGAGTAATAACTCAGTCTTTAAACTAACCCCAAAAAAGGGATAGACTTCTCATATTTTTCCCAGGATGGGGACGGGCTTGATTAAAAAGTAATGTGTGATGGCCAGCGCAGCTCATGTCACACAGAATGACCCGCCAAGCATAGAGCATTTTTTGGTTTGTTAAAAATCGACTCTCACTGTTGAAAAATATAATACTCATCCTCTTCCAAGCTTTGTTCGACTATACCACCTATATAGATAATGACACATCACAATACCATTTCTTAAAAGTTTTATTACTAAATAATCAGAAATCAACAAATTGGTTTCCATTACATTTCAAAGTTTCATTACTGGACAGCAGTTTTCTTCAGATCGGAATGCACAAATGCCGAAACAGTAAAATATATGAAAAGTGGAAGGTAAGAATTGAATTTGTGAATTTTGCTTTTTCTTGATGCAAATCATATTATGGGATTTAGAAAGTTAAAGCTTATTTGTTCATACTAACTTAATTCTCTGGTAAGAAGTATCATGTTACAGACTTTTCATTAGCTGCGATCTGGCTCTCATGAGTATTGGAGTTCCCTGAGAAGTTTCAAAGAAAGCTAGTCACCATTTATTGAAAATTCAAAGTAAATCAAGTAATCTAAATCAGCGATTTTCAAACTGGGAGGCCGGACTCCTTTGGTAGGTAGCGAAAGGGCTCGGTGGCGGTCACAGTAAAATCTTTTCTGACACTAACTTTGTTAAAACAAAATATCGTTCAAATTTCAATGATTGGCCGGTACTAATACCCACCATTACCAAAATAGAGCTGAGATTAAACCACTTTTTGTGAAAATATGCAAGCACATCATTCTCATCAAATGTAATGTCAGTTTTTTTAATTTTTTCCACATTTTCTGTGTTATTAAATTTTACCTCCTTTAGTGCCTGGGGACGCAAAAAAATTTGGCCGTGCCAAGTGGGTTGAATAAAAAAAGTTTGAAGGACACTGATCTAAAGGAATGGCTCTGACTTATACTCAATTAATTAACTGCCAGTAAACTTGACTCAGTAATTCAAAGCTGAACTATTGGCCAGTATCAAACTTTTCTCGGCCGAAAGTAGAGTCTATTAAAGAGTGACCCTTTACTCATTTGAAACATATTTCAGAGAGAACATAACTTTTTAGGAAAGTTCAAGATTGCTGAAACTTGTGTTAATCCTGACAAACTGAAGTGTTCTCAAGTTCATAGAAGTAATCAGAAAGTTTGAGATTTTTTTTTAGATGAGGGGGGGGGGGGGAGGAACGGAAATGTTAACAAACATGATAAGCCCTGGTTATAGAGGATATCCATACTGTCTGATTTTTCAATGTTTCCTCTTTCCATTGAAATTAATTAATTTCACTCTAACCAAATAATTTCATTTTTGAAAATATATAAAAGTTTGCAAATAATCAAGCACCTAGATAACTGGTTCTCAACCAGTAGGGCTGTCCAAGCGAACCAAATATTCGAAATCGAACCGAAAATTGTTCGAAGCGGTTTTCGGCCAAATTACGAATCGCTAAAATTTGGTACGTAATGCGCCTCACGACCACCTTCTTTGCACGGCGTTTTTCACCGGGCAAGCAAAAACATGTTTCTATTGCTTTTTTTGCTGTAAAAAAGTCTCTCCTATTGCCCGGTGACATGTAATTATCCATTTCATGCATGGACATAAATGAAAAGTTATCGGTAGTAATGATTTAAAGATGACGTTTTTTGAGAGAACACAAGGTGAAAAAGGCAAATTTAGTATCAGCAAAAACGCCAGTTCTATAAATAGAATCGATTTGTAGCTGTTGAGTCAGTAATCATAGGAACATGGTACAGGACTGAAACACGTTTTGGAGGTCCCTTTTTCAATAGAATTTGTAATTTCTTCCAATGGTAATACTTTGTATCATCCATTTATTATTATGACAAATAATTGCACTCTTGCAAGTTGCGGGCTGTTGTACAGCAACAATATGGTATCAACTAATAATGTCATCAAACTAGCTCTGAATACGTGAGTTCCCGAAATGCAATTTTGAATTTTTTGGGCAACAGTTATATCTATATTAATAATTGTTTATCCTATTATGGAAAACTACACAAAAAATATTGAGTTAATAATACGAATGGTAATAGGATTAAAATAGCAACTACGGGCATTAAAAGAGTCTGAGCAATTTGCAACTCTTAACACTTGATAGTTTTCAAAACCCTAATTTTTTGACCAATTCAAGGAGGCTTGTGATCTCCTTTTATAACTCTGGAAACATAGATATGCAAAATATTTGCAATAATAACTGCACAAACATTATCACAATTCTGAAGAAGAAGTTTTTATTGTATATTAGAGATAAATTTAGGATTGTGGAATAATATTCGATTATTCGGTTCGATTCGAGAAAAATATTCGGTTCGATTCGAATCAAAAAAATATTCGATTTTGGACAGCCCTATCAACCAGTGGACCAAATTGCTGGTTTTATTGGTATCGCTATCCTTAATTTTGATTGTAGTACAAATGATTGATGATGCTGTTTTCTGCTACTGAATGGTAATTTTCATTCCAATTATTAAACGAAAAGCGTCCATTTTCGCAGAAAGATTATGATTTTTCCTAATAATGCCTCACAATAAAAATTTAATGAGCCACAAGAATTTTTGTGCAACGAAAGAAAAAAGGTTGAGAACCACCGACCTTGATTAAAAAACTGTAATCATGGCCGACTAAATGGTTAAGGTTAAAAAACTTCAGAAAAATATTCAGAATAAAAAAGCGAATAACCGTTGACAACAACATTATTAAATTTGCTTAAATCAAGCTATTATTCTTAATTCCAAAGCTCTGCAAAAGTTGTATGTTGATAGCATATCTGAACATGCTGAAGCCCAGTATGTAATTCACAGCGGGAAGTCTCTCTGTTAATCAGCATCCGATTCCACCAATGGGATTCAAAGCAGTGGTCACCTGATATTGAATTGACCAATCAGACAAGCAATGCAGGGGTTGGTTTTCTTCCAGGCCACGCCTCTTTAATATATTTCTTCCTGGGTCGAGTTTCATCTTGTTCGGCCCGCATGCGAACAGCTGGCGCCACCTTAAGGGCAGTCTGTATCTTAACCTGAATAATAAGAAAATGAATAGATTTTGTTCAGTATTTATTATTGCGCTGGGAACAGGGTTGACATCACACCACTGGTAAACCTCTGTGGGTTAAAATCCCTGGGAGGATAATTATATTGCTGAATTCAGACCTATTTTTTTTACCTTGCGTTGTACACCCTAATAAAAGCAAAGAAGCATAAAATCGACTGAATTTTCCCTGCAAATGGATAAAGGTACCCAAAGGAGAGTTACAAGGACCCATTATTAATGTTATAAAAGTACTAAATTAGGGCTTTTTCTTCTGTAAACGCTTGTGAGACAAATCTAAAAATAGTGTGAATACCCATGGAAGAGTTGAAAACCGTCCAGTAAACAGTAGTTTATTTTCTCCCCATACTGAAAGCACACTTTATGTACAGATTGCAATAAATAATTAAAAAGCGTTTCAGGGTGAGGGGTGTCGCTAGAAACCAAATTTGGTCATTGAGCAGAGCAACACTCCATTGCGCTCGAAACCCCTGATTGTGTCGAAAATATCAACAGGCAGCCAAAAGACTTGAAGTATTTTAGAACAATACAGTTAGGAAAATTAAATATTCAACTTCAATTAGGGGTATAGCCAGCGAGAAGGGAGTTGAGGGTCGGACGCCCTCTTTCTTGAAATGTGAAAAAAAGATTTTTCTGTATCATAAATAGCAATTTTTTCGCAGCTTGAAACGCATTTTCTAGACCTCAAAGGCTTAGAAACCGACGATTTCTGGCATCTAGCTGTTACAATCTAACTTGGCAATTAGAAATCTCAGAACCACCCTTTGAGTACTCCTGGCTATACCTCTGACCTTGAAAAATAAATTTTCAAATTTCAAAAAATAATGCATACCTCTGGTTCCATTTCTATATCCGGAGCAGGGTTTGGTAAAGGAAGTGAAAAACCAGCCATGCCTGACGAAGCTGATGGTGATGTCACAGTAGCAGGTTTAACAGCTGATTTTTCATCTGTGTGACATTATAATAGGATTGTAAGTAATGGTTTAAAACTAATACAGAAAATCCAAGAAGCCCAGTGGCAAAAACTTGAAATAAGTATCGAATACGAATCTGATTTTTCATCTAGTTCACTGAGAGGAAAGCCGATAAAGTGGCTTAGTCATATGATAAGCAACAGGATAGGATTTACATATTTATCCCGGGGGAGAGGAAAGCGGATAAGACGGCTTAATCATATGGCGAACCACGGCCTCTCGTCCGGTTACCGGATTAGTTAGCCAGTTATTTGTTTTCGGAAGCATGGACTTGATGGTGGAGGAAGCCGTAACCGACCAGCGGTTACGTGAATCACCCTACAGCGGCGAGGAGTCCAGCAATCCTCTCGCACATGATCATCCCCGCATGGGATTTGGGAACCTTAAATGCAATGATCTGAATTTCACTATCAAGCATCACATGACAGCCTCTCTTTTAATTGGCAGTCCAGTGTGATAAAAGCTAGCCATGTAGCCGTGGTTCACCATTGGAAATAAACCTCCTTAGGTTTCTTATGCCATAAATAATCTCCCTTTCCTCCTTAATATACTTTAAAAGGATAGGATTTACATATACATTCCGGGGGAAAGAAAAGCCGATAAAACAGCTTTGTCATATTCCAAACCACGGCCTCGTCCGGTTACCAGTCCACTATCGCTTTCGTGAACCACCCGATGGCGGCGACAAGTCCAGCAATTTTCACGGACATAATTCACCCAATATTACATATATTGATGACCGCTGCAATGTGATAAGCATATGCAGTGCTTCATCGTAATGAACAATTTTTAATTTAGAAATTTCATTCATCTGAAAATCTCACCAGAGTCTAACGATTCATATAGACCTTGATTATAAAACTCTTGGACTCTTTTGTTGATTTCTGATGTGTTTGGAATCAACCCTGATCCCTCTCCTCGGAATTTCTGAAATAAATAAGATGTGAAGAGTATGAAACTTTGAGGATTTTATACACGAATTAAGAAATTCTGTAAGATGTTGTTCAGCTTTAAACAAGACCTAATGTAAGGAGCTACCACGTTTTGACGTACCAAAAACGTTTTGACGTACCGAAAATCTCAGGTTAAACCTCGCACCAACAGTAGTGCACAAGTGTGCAACCGCCGGCCGAGGGTCACGACCAGGCCAACCGAGCGAGCCATTTAGTGTGGCCCATTTTCCCATCAAGCATAAAATCCTAATCAGACAGTTCAGCTGTGAAATCATTTATTGTTTTGCTCGATAAGGCCAAGCGATTTTCTCCTGCCTTTCCCAAAGCGTTCTGGTTGTTGCTAATGTATTTAGGTTTTTAATCCGTTCATTTTTTTGTGTATCCCAGCTAGATGTCGTTAGTTAAATAGGCCCACCGGCAAAAAATATTGCACACCCCTGGCATACTGCAATAAATTGCATTGTGAAAGACAATATTGGAATGAAATAATACCAGTCTTTTCAAAAATAGCTTTTTAGTATCTGAGAATCTATAACAAAAGAATAGACTTTACCTTGGATGGTATGACTTGTACTGAGACCATGTTTCTGAATCGACCAACATTTGGGTCAACATCCTCTGTGAAATAGAATAGTCAATTAGGAGTATCATATGGAATGATAGTTTGGCCGCGTGCACACAGCCGTGTTCAGAGCAAAAGTTACAGAAAGTACATGTGTCGTGAGTTTGAAATGTTTGGGAAAGTATTTATTGTGTGACTTCCAGGCCTTATTATTACCTGAATTTCAAATTTATCTGGAGAAAGGAAAAACGATAAAGCGGTTTAATCAATGACGAACCACGACCCTTAACCCATAACTGACCACATAATTATATCCCATGAAATTTGAACTTGCAAGTCCACGCAAGGGTTAATCGTGGGTGTGATGGCACTGGGATTCACACTGTCTCACAGTTGGCTTTACTAGTTTCGATGACTTTATGTTTGAGTTCTAAATTCTGATATTCAATTGATATTCAAGACAGCAGTTAATGTCCCCATTACATGAAAGTCAGTTGCAACCTAAAATACATTTTTACACAGACTTCGATCATAATATAACAAGCCTATTGCACCTTGCATATTAACAACAACTATATAGTGAATAAAGAATTGGTTAGAAGCAGAAATTTATGGCAGCATCGGGCGGGCCAGATTGAATCATCCATTGAACCGGATTTGGCCTGCAGGCCATAGTTTGTCCATTTCAGCTGTAGATGCTTGTTCAGGGTCAAAGGTGAAAAATATCTCTACCAACCTGGATTGATAATTATTTCTTCGTCATTGAAAGAGATTGATTTCCTTTTCCGTTTTAATTTGACCGGTTCGTCCACTGGTAGCGTTGTGACTCTCTTGTTATGTGCTGTATTGTATTCCGTCAGATTCTGAAAATATAGATTTTAAGAATATATGGGTCACTCTAAAAAAGACTCTGTATGAACTATAAACACTTACAAGGACCAGAATTTCTCCGTCAATTTATTATATAACTGAGTCAGGTGATGGGTATGGGGTTTAGGATAGGATAAGGATTTCATATTTATTCCTAAGAGTCGATGCGATGACATAACCATATGAGAACCGCCTCTTCGTGTCCAGTTACCAGTCCATGTCAATTATGTTAACAGTTAACCAGTTGTTTCAGATACATAAACTTCATGGCAGGGAAAGCCATAACAGACAAGCAGTAACGTGAACTGTCCTACAATGGTGAGGAGTCCAGCAACTGTCTCGTACATAATTATCTCCAACAGGACCAGTGAAATCATGCTGAGCAATCAGAGAAAAGATGGCAAGTATATTGACATGATTGACAAACGGCTTCGTAAACCAACCTACAACAGAAAGTGGCGATCCCTACATAATTAACACCAACAGAGTTTGAACTCAATAAGGGTAATCAGAAGTAACGACAAAGGTATTCCGCACAATTCGCCAATATTTTTAACTCAAAAAATAAACTCAAACTCTCACATCTAATTCATCTTCTTCAAAAGGAAGTCCAAACTTCAATTCTTCTTCCATTTTTGCTTCTTCCTTCGCAACAACAGCAGGAGGACGTTCTAAAAAGATTTTGATGGCAATTCAGAATATTAGAAACTTGCTAAACTGAAAGCAACGATGCTTAGAATCACTCAGAAGTCGAGCAATCACTCATTAATGGTTCTGTGAGATAACAACACAATAAGTAAACAAAATGCAGGGATAACTAGGAGGCAAGGATAACTTGAAAAATGCACAAGTACGTAATTACATAATACATGTAATTGAACGAGTTGCAGCTGAACTGAATTGCCAAGAGCTACTAAAATCATATGGAATTATGATGGTGCTTTACATGCACTCACTCAGAAGTAAAAGAGACTCATCTCTGAGCAAAGTTACAGGCACTCACTCATAAGCAAAGGAGAATCATCTCTGAGCAAAGTTACAGGCACTCACTCATAAGCAAAGGAGACTCATCTCTGAGCAAAGTTACAGGCACTCACTCATAAGCAAAGGAGACTCATCTCTGAGCAAAGTTACAGGCACTCACTCAGAAGTAAAGCAGACTCATCTCTGAGCAAAGCTATGTATACTCACTCAGAAGTAAAGAGACTCATCTCTGAGCAAAGTTACAGGCACTCACTCATAAGCAAAGGAGACTCATCTCTGAGCAAAGTTACAGGCACTCACTTATAAGCAAAGGAGACTCATCTCTGAGCAAAGTTACAGGCACTCACTCATAAGCAAAGGAGACTCATCCCTGAGCAAAGTTACCATACTCCCTCAGAAGTCAAGGAGATTCATCTCAGAGCAACCTGACTGAAATATGCTTGTGCATTACATGCACTCACTCACAGGCAATTAAACGAAACTCATCTTTGAGTAAAGTTACGCCGACACTGAATTGCCAAGAGATACTAAAACTACATGAGAATTCACTCAAAGTAAGGTCTCTCATAATCACACAGAAGTAAAGAGACTCGTCTCAGGAAAAAGTTAAGAGGCAACAGACCACTGGATGCCAGAGTTGGCAGTCTTTGTGTAGTCCATGGCTACGTATTGTTATCAAATTATCACAGAAGAAAAATACAGTGTGGTCGCTAGGAAAACAGTAAATTTGTCAAACAGCTGTTTATTCTTACAAATAATGATTTGAGAACAAGCTTGGAATGATATCCTACAAGTTAACGTTCAAAATGCTAAACAATGTCGGTCTTGTATGAATGTAATATAACATACGCCTTTATTAAAAAGAATTTGTAAAAGTTCTTCTTTGTAAAAATAGTGAGCTGTTTGACAAATTTTCTGTTTCTCTAGCAACCACCTGTATATCAAATACCTTTCAAAACATAATGCCTTGTAGAAGCTCCGAAATGTATCGTGCTGTCAAAAGGTACAGGAGTTGGTTTCCGACCTTCAAGACGAATTCTTCCTATCATGGATCCGTGGGCTAAACGAGAGAGAAATGATCAAATATGTGGAAAAGGAGAACAAATGAGTGCTAATTTCAACAATTCAATGTCAGCAAAATTGAGGTATTATTAAAAGTTGTACCGAATGTCATACAAAGGTGTGCATCATAAAAATCAGCACATTTATGCAAATACCCAGCCCTAAGTATCAGTCTACTGCTGACTTCGTTTAACTCAAAAGTACTGAAAATTGAAAATTATTATGGCTAGTTAGTTTCAAAAAAGAAATTTTTCAGGCATATTTCCTAAAATTCACATTCTTTTAAAGACATTTGAGAAATAGGTCTGGTCACGTTAACTTGTCTTGTATAATTTGCGGGCTTGCTTCATTTGTGCTTTATAAATAAACACTACATACAATACCCAGGGTATGATGATTCTCTATATTTCTAAATGCTAATAGCACCTTACATTTCAATGGCTGGGTTTACAAGGGATTGTTTAGAACAGTGGTTCCCATACTGTGGGCTGCGGACCAATGCCAGCGTAACAGTATAATATGGCCGGCCAACTTGAATAAAACACTTTAACACTTCGTGTTTTTATCTTTTTGCGTTCCAGATACGGCCAATTGTTACATAATTATCTCAGTTTAAGCTCGTGTATATTCCTAACAATTCAATTATACCGGCATCACAATCATACGTTTTAGTACCGGTATCTGCCCCTAGTGGGCGCTCCCCCTCTCCAAGCCCACAAATATTTTTCCGCGTCTAATTTTGGCCTCCAATCAATCAACCTTGGGAACCACTGGTTTAGAATGAAAGAAAGAAAACACCTAAACAAATTCTTCATATTTCCTATGAACTTACTGCTTCCTAAGTCAATAATGAACATTCTCTTCAAATGTTTGTGATAGACAAGGACAGCATGAACTCTGGAACAGGATGAATGTTCAGTGATGAAATCACACGAGTCAGAGTTTCGCCCGAAAACGTAACATTTTTTCTCGTCAATGATGAGTTTCTGCAAATATAAAAATAAAATTTAAACAACTGTTTCAAATTTTATCAATTGGGCAAGATGAGGAACATTGCACTTTTTATCAAATAGGTCAAAAATTTCGAAATAGGAAATTTGATATAGACAAGAAAATTATGGAAAATAGACATATATATATAATCATTGAAAAACTAGCTGTTGCAATCTTCCACAAGTTTCATAATTTTGCCGTAACAGTACGGCACACTATACAAATCGGGTGACATTGTCCCGTTTCAGAGAAACCCATTTCACAGATGATCAGACACTCCTCCTTTGGGAGACGTCTGGACATTGTTGTCCTCGGTAAGAATACAGTATAATGAAGTTGCACAAAATACTATAAAAAAACGAAATACAGTAACGTCATCATTGAATTCCTTGGGAAAAACTACTCCGATATACCAAAGGAAAAAAATTTTTACCGTAGCATTCGTTTGTGAGACACATAGAGTGTTCGTTTTATAGAGCCAAATGGAGGGAAATTCTTGGAATTTAAATAGTGTGGTATACTGTATGATAAGTTATTGAATTTTATCTCCATCAGTAAAATACATGAATCATGCACAGTGGAGTTCAACACTTCAAATGATGCGCCTCGACAATATGTTGTTGAAAATAAAATCTCAGGCAAACACACCTCAACCAACTTCTCTCCTTTCATGACATTCAGATGTGTTCCAGTAGGTGCTTTTCCTGCCCTGAACATAATAACATAGAATAAATATAGCAATCTATAGTTTGATAGTACAGTATGCTTCTTACTGCTAGTTGAAAGCTTATTTCTGTATTTGGCTTGACAGTCGGCGCATTGTGCTAAATATTATTACACGACTGACTGGACTACATAAGTTTGGATTATAACATAATTAAGAAAGTTACAATTATAACAGGAATTGATGGACTCTTCGGAGCCGCACATATGTTATGGTACCGGTACTGTACCGCTGGTTGGTTACAGCTTACTCAACCATATGCCCATCAAGTCCATGCATCTAAAACGAATGTCAGAATGTGGGTGTGAATGTGGAATGAAATATACCCATATCTGCATATTGGACATGAACTGATAACTGGACAACAGTTCGTGGTTCGCCATAGCAATAAGCCATTTCCATTCCTCCCCGACCTGCCAACAGGCTGAATATCAAAATCCTATATGAAACATGATATCTTAAGTCATACTGTCAGTAAGTAAAAAACAAGGGAACTCACCAAGAAGGAACTTCAAAATCCACTTTCGCTGGATTAGCAAATTTCCCGGAAGGTTTAATTGCCGTCATTTCAATATCCAAGCCTCAATAACTAAACCACTCTCTCAAACGTGCAACATTTTCCAAGAATCTAATCGAAAGCTATTCAAAATATCTATTAACAAGCACACACAACCGAACTTGCAGACAATATAGAGGTGGATGGAGTCAATATATATTGGGAAATGAAAATTCCATTTTGTTTGAGTTTCATAAGATTACTGTTAGGATTAGGAAAATATTTCATGATTATGGTGGAGAAAGAAAGAACTGATAAAATTACGATATTGCCATCGACGGCCTTTTTTTGTGGGTTCAAATCCAAGTTGCGCATGGTAATATTTACTCGTTCTAGATACATAGACTTGCTGATAAAAAACCGTAACCGAGTACCCTGACCATTTTGATCATACAGCACATATTTATATTTGCGGGATTCGAAGTCAAGCATTAAAAATCAATCGTACACAAATTACGAGCAAATAAATAAGAACACATTTTGTTCTTCCCTGAGAAGGGAAATTGCGGAAACAAACAAGGTTCAAAGTTCGCAGTATTCAAATTCAATGTCGCAACTAATGTACAGTATTTGCATCAGTTGTGACTCATTCTTAGGATTGTTATATATTTATCCCTCATTCATGTTACTTTTTAGGCTAACCTGTAACAGCGCTGTGGGTAACGCTGCTTGAAGATCTTCATACGTCCCTCGCGACTCCGGTCACACAACTAACATAGTTAGTACTATTTATTCATTCATTGCATCAGTTTTTATTTTAACTTGTTTTTGTGATGACAAATAAACGATTGTTTGATTGTTCAAAGTTTAAGAATTTAAGCCGTTAGGACTGTCATTGTACACGAAAGTGATTTTTTTCATGTTGTTGTAGTAGAAATTTTGTTTACAGTTTCACGGCGCGGCAGTGTGGCTCATCGTGCTAAGCGTTAGGAATACGCTCGCCACCGCACCTCTGATTAGTCTGCGTGGGTTAGCAAGTTCGAATCTCATGCAAAGATGGCTTTGTGCGAGAGGATTGCTGGACTCTTCGTAGCCGTAGGGTGGTTCACGTAACCGCTGGTCGGTTATGGCTTCCTCCACCATCAAGTCCATGCTTCCGAAAACAAATAACTAAGTTAACTAATCCCATACCCGACATGAAATGGTAACCGGACGAGAGGCTGTGGTACGTCATTTTGTTAAACCGTCCTATCGGTTCTCATCATCTCATGATACTCATCAAAGTGGGGATATTTTTAATAAGCTGCTATCCTATCGGTACTGTAAAAGATCTGATAATACCGTTGTGACTAAAATAATTTACTATTTTGATTCACGTTCACACTGGACGCATGGATCATAATCGTTACAGAAGCTGGAAGTCCGAATAACGATACCCTGGTGCCTCTTCTGGTTTAGTATTATTTTTGTATGTTTGCCATGGACCTTTCCCCGACCTTTAACACCCTAAAAAACTTCCTATACTTTACCATTGCAAAATTTTCGGGGCTTATTTTAAGATTGTTTCGCGAATTGGCGCCTGTAAAATGGGCTATTTGTTTCAAACCATCATTATGATTCATCGCATACAACAATATGTTCCTAAAAAGTACTGGTGGAGAATTTTAGCCTAGTCTAACACAGCTATTTTGCCACTAATTTTTTATTACTGCAATTAAATCAAAACTCCTAAGAAGACAGAGTGATCATTGAACTATCTGATTTATATTTTAATCTCCGAAACACAACTAAAAACTAACGAATAGAGTTCAAAAGCGCGAAAACGAGGTAATGTTAACGATCACGCCTGAAAATCTGTCTGAGTGAGAAAATGGTCTGAGGGGATGAGAAAAGGGAGCATTGTTACGTCACTTTTTGCATCTTGCTGATTGGCCAATGAAACGAAGTAAACAAGGAAGTCGATGCTCGGGAAAGGTACATTGGAGGCGCTGGTGATACATACGTTCACAGGTATTGCTGATTGTGACAACATAATCCCCTGGGCGGTTTTGCAAAGCGTGAGGCTTAGAAAACCTTGATTCGACCTTCTCGGGATTGCAGGTTTTGGTGCAAGCTTTTTATTGTTTTTGTGATATATTTGGAATTGATAACAATAACCTAATTTTACTGAGCTGTTTCCAATCAACGTTCGACTGTTTTGTAAGCTGGAAGCTACACTGTCAAGTACGTAATTAAGTTTATTGTTTTTAAATTTAGACTTCAGTTTATTTTAGAGGGCAGTCAAGACCTTATTTTTGAGGATCGCGTTTTTTCTTTATAAATGGGGTCAGGGAAATTACACTACGTCCTTTAGTAACAAGCAACAATACATAATCTTTACGTTTGCTTGTCATTTATTTGCTGTTTGACTAGAATCTACAGCAGGGGTGTGCAGACTGCGGCCCGTAAAAAAAACATTGTGCGGCCCGCGAAGAAGTGCCAATTTTAAATAATGTGACCGCGAAACGAGATTTTAGTTTAGTTAATCTGGTACTTGCGAGCAATTCAATCTCTTTGCGAGTTAGATGAAAAAGCGCGCTTGGATAACTTCCGCAGCGACGGGAGTAGTTAGAGAGATTCTTTAAGCTATTGTTAGATATCAGTGACTCTATCTGGCCTTGTTCGGAGCATAAAATAAATTCCCCCTCCCTCAGTTAAAAAAACATTTTTGGTTGGCTATGCAATATGGAAACAATGGGGCAAGAGCGCACGTTTCTTATATCCAAATTTCTAAATTTACCCAAATTAAACATTGGATATGTTAATTTCACGTATATGCATGAAGCAATCTGGCAAACAATAGACTGAGGCTCCAACTAAATACGCTAACACTTCTTTATTACACAAGGATAGCACACTACATGTTTTGACAAAATAGGACGTTACTCAAGATTGGTTATTATCAACATGAGATAAAAATATGTAGTTGAATCGACAAAACAATATGAAATTTAAAAATGAATTTTTAATTTTTTTTATAAATGAACATTCGACAATCGTTAAATTTTCAAATTAGTAATGTAATCAATGATATATATCTATCTGATGATAGATCCCGAAGAACAGAATACAACCAAGCAGACATTTCATTAGATCAGGATTTCACAAATAACTCCGTTTAGATTCAAAGTAGGAGAAGCATTCACCATTCCTTGCCAACTTTCAGATGGTTTGGAATCAACATTGAGATAAACAGTTGTGCTACTCATGCCGTGGAGTGGAGCAGATGGATACCAGTTAATGAATGAATCTGCAGGTGTGACGTCATCCGTCTGAAAACAAACAAAAATGATTATCATTAGATTTGCTTGATCAATTGTGACTCTCACTGGTCTTCCACATGATGTAAAGAAAAACTTAATGTTCATTCTACAACGCGTGGGTCGGCAACTTACGGCCCGCGGCCCATCGTGCTAAGCATTATAAATTCGCTCGTCACCGCACCTCTGATTACCCTGCGTAAGTTCGAATCCCGTGGGAGATAGTTATGTGCAAAATAATTGATGGACTCTTCGCCGCCTTAGGGTGATGCCGCTGGTCGGTTAAGGATCAAGTCTATGCTGCCGACAACAAACAAGAGAGCTATGCTCAAATATATGGACACGTAGCGCCACCTAATGGCAGTAATTTTGATGACGTCATAGCAAAAAAAGTAATAGTCTTCTGGAAATTTTTTTTATCTTTAACCACTGAAAATTTCAAAGCAATTGGTCCAGTAATCAAAGAGAAAAGCGACTTTTTAAAAACGTGTTAAAGAACAAGAACAACGTAATATTGAAACGATCACTATGTCCACTACGTGTCCAATACCTGGCTAACTAACCCTATACTCGACATGAACTGGCAACTGGACGATATGCCGTGGTTCACCATATGATTAAGCCGTAATATTGCCCTTCCTCTCCCCGGGATAAATATGTGAATCCTATCCATGTTTAACAAGTATAAATAAACAGTCATAAGATACTAACCTTTGGATCAAAGTAGATTCCTGTCCAGATAAGAATCCACGACCTTCCCTTTGGAATATTACTTCTCAAGTAATTCATAACCGCATTGTAAGATTCTTCATCTCGAATCAAACCAACATCTGCGTTACGTTTCTTACAAATATCAACTGCTTTGTTGTAGTTGACATCATCTTCAGCAAATATCACAGCGAAATAACAAACATTGCTGATCTTCAATTTGCAGTTTTCTAAAATATAAGAAGAGACATATTTTTTTGCGGTTTAACAACTTGCAAAAGTGTTGCTGTTCAACATAGCAAGAAGTTTGACGGACTCGATGAACCTGTACTTTATTCTTCTATACTTAGTTCCTAATTTTAACTTTGCACATTGCAAATTACTCTTCCATAGATGTTTGGTCAGACATCTTCTTAGAGCAAGAGATCGAAGATTTGGAAAATTAAATTACTTTCGCCAACTATATATATATGAAACTCATGAAGTTGCCATTTTGGTCTCCTGCGTAGAGCTGTGCAGTTGTGGGAAATAACAATCTATCCCCGACTCCGGGTTGAAACAAACTTTGGCGTATGCAAGCGGCTCCAACTTCTGACAGTTTAAAAATTCCATTCCAGTGAAAAAGTTCCAAACTTCCACTTCACTACCATTGACTATAAAGGCTTACCTAGGGAAGGGGTCGGTTTCAGAGTTGTTTTGGTTGTTGTCGTCGGTCTCTGTTGGTTTCCAGATTGAACCTGTTGAGGCTTCTCCATTGCAGAGAGTTTTTCTTCAATCCGATTCAGTGCTGAAAGAAGAATATAGAAGAATATACATGAGTTAGTGTTTATTTCTAGCATTACCGAAAACAAAATGTCCAATTCAGCTTCAGAAAGCCGAATTTGTTTGTAGTTGATCTGAATAAAATATCTAATTTTATGCAAACCCGTTGCGCTATTATTTTGTAAAGCTTTAAATTAATAATTTAAAAATCACGGCATGATTTACTTCAGGTATATTTGTTGATCTATTACTGCATTTTACCTTTCTTCATCTCATTGTTTGTTTGCTTTTGTTCGCCCAATTCTTCCAGAAGTTTTCTGTTCATTGTTTCAAGTCCGACCAAATCTGTTGAAAGAAAGATGTAGAACAACGGGTGCAGTGAGTTACCAATCCTACTCATTGATCTTCATTTTTCTAATTCAAGTTGTGTTCATACAGATTTAGAATTTTGTGTTGCCTAAAACTGCATTCTGTATAAGTTTCACATTGCACATTTTTTTTCATGTTCATATATCGAAATAATAGGAGCATGTTTATAATAACCCATTTTTCCTAGATCTTATTCACAAAAAGAATTTTCACTGAATTTTATTTCATATTAAAGACGCCACACAATCCTATCTTCAAATCCCTTATTTCACCTGACTGTTTTTACGGCTCTGCTTTAGGTCAGCCATTTTAGTCAGTTCGCTGGTTATTCTCGTAGTATGTGTACCAGGTAAGGGTTAGGATATAACTTTATTCCGAGTTTCCCTCTTTTAGTTCTATTACGAGTTCAGGATTGTTTGTGTTAGCCAAGTGAACAAACCCCCTACCTGTAGGTTTTAGTTCCATTACACAGCATGATGTAAAATAGGTGAAAAAAATTGGTTACCTCAATCTGGAACGCCCATATTTTAAACTATTTTTGAAATGTTTGAATGTTTTTTTAATCGAGGTTACCTTCCAAGTTTCACAGGTTTAAATTGTAAAAGTCCTAGTTTTTAATGGAAAACAGGGTTCCATTACATTTGAACCCACGACAATTGCACCTGCATACTATTGCACATATTGAAATTTTTTCGTCCTAATTTGAAACCATACTAACCCTAACCCATGGGTTTTAGCACCCGCATATAGATTGAACCCGCGGCTATACACATGGGTTCAAATGTACGGTAACCGAAAAACAGTTATCATATCGTCAATCATAGACATCGCACATTACTAACCTTTCCTCAAGTCCCTGATTTCAGAGTTTTGTTCTGTGTTTTCCTTCAGTAGATTGTCAATTTGACGAGACTGTTGAAGAGTGCTATCACGGAAATCATTTATTTCGTTTGTTTGCTCTGCGATCTCGTTACGATTCTCGCTAATTTCTGGTAAAAAATATTACATTTTCCGATTCCTATACTTATTCCTTCCAGAGAAATAAATGTTTCCCCTGGAAGTAATCTTGTTATTCTCTATTGAATATCGTTTTACAAGAACAGGTGTAAACTCTCCAATAAATTTGAATCCAAATTTCTATTAAACCAGATGGTAATTCTCCCTAAGAAAGAAATTTTAATGTTCTAGGAAGAAAATTTGTGCTTCATATTTAGCTGTAGTATTATTATATTCTTAACTTAGCATAACCTTCTATACAATTTGTAGCCTATATACGTATTATAAACTATTCAAACTGTTTGAAAACAACTACCAAGTTAGAGTTAGGTCTTAATTTTATTCCGATTTCCCTTATTTTAGCTCTCTTACGAGTTCCGAGTTCTGTCTGTCTTAGCCATGTGAATATACACCATGTCTATGGGTTTCAGTCCCTTTATACAACTTGATGTAAACCAAGCGAACAAAATTAGTTAACTCCATATTGGTACATAGATAGGTTTCAATCTCTTTATACAATTTGATGTAAAGTAGGCGAATAATACTAGTTACCCCCCTATTGGTAGATACACTTCTGGAGCGCCGATTGAAGTGACGTTCAACAGGTCTTACTTACCTAAACTATTTTGAGTTACGACAGGAAGCAAGTTGCGAGTATTCCTTGATTCAGTAGCGTTCATAGATTTGCATGTAATCGGGAACTCTTTGTCATTCAGATTTTCATCAATGCGCTTGTCTGAGCAGTGAAACACGGTTTCATCTTGACACCAGGATAAAGTGATGACGTAGATTAAAAGAATAACGATTGAGATTTTCATCTCGAAGTTTCAGGGTATTTACGTTATAACTGAATGAATAAAAATCATTTGTGTTTTTTCCAAAGCAACACGTAACCCTGAAATGCTGCAAATCTCATTCAAACTTCCACGAGGAGGTTGCTACTCTAATAAATGACGCTACTCGTAACTCTTAAGTTGTTCTGAAACTCGCGGTTCAAAGTAAGTGTGTTGACTGAATTGTATTTTTTCTAGTTAGTTATTATTAGTACGTTTCCCAGCTTTTTAATTTAGGTGGGGGGGGGGGGGGGTCGAAATTTAGGGGGTAGTAAATATTTTGCTATTAGTGATAAAACTATTTGTAACTTATAAAAGTGTGTTATGTATTTGACTGACTTTCACTGAAATTTGAGCCACTTTCCGAATATTCGTATACATTTTATATTCACCTCCTACGGGTGGGGTGTAAGAAAATCACTGGTTCTTAGTATCCCCATGTCCGTTTCTGTGTGCAGAAATAGCAGCTTTAGAAAGTAAAATTAGTAATCACTTCCACTATGCGTCCGCAATGAGCCATGGCGCCCACGCTCATTCTAAGTGTAAATTATTAAATTCAACTATAATAGATCGACGTGTTTATACTGCATAACTGGACTCGTTGAATTGTGTTTCCATACACAGTTGAAAAGTAACAGGACGTAAACACTATATTGTTTTCCATTACAAAATCTTAATCTTCGTTTATTATTTTCATCTCCACCTAGAATAATCCCGCGCAATCTGTTTCGTAAACAGTCAGTTATAGTTAGGGTCGTCCATGGCCATATATGAGATATACTAAAACAGTCGTCTATCTCCATCGTTAGGGTTACCATATTATTTTGACTTCAAAACGGGACACCTCCAAAGACACGACCCCTTAGCTGTGATCCTGTAACTTTACAGTTTTCGATTTTACTACATAGGCCTACATTTACAGCTATCACGCTGTTTTCATTGACCATATTGACATCGAGAGTTCATGCGCATATTCTCTGCCCAAATATCAGGTTCAGTTCGAAAAATAGAAAGAAATAGACGCTAACGATACAAACGATACAAATTTGGATTTTTTTAGGTACTTCAAAAAGAATAATGAAATAGTCTAGCGTTTTCAAGAATTGAGAATTTACTTATTCGCTCAAGCATGTGTTTTACATTCATGTGGACGTACGAACAGGACCATTTAGAATAATGATTTTATATGTGATACGCTTGCTTACAATCTTAGTGGGAAGCTACAAACAAAATAACGCATTCACCTTCAGTATGTAGGCTAGCGTTGTGCTACACAGCAACAACAGTAACGAGAACATGTTCGTGTATTATGCTGGATGGCATTCCAAAGCGGGACTTATGACTGACTTGTTGGGACGGCGGGACAAGACGCTGAAAAAAAGCGCGACTGTCCCGCCTAAAGCGGGACGTATGGTAAGCCTATCCATCGTTCACCACGGCGACGATCGTTTCGTTCTACTTCGTTCTACCCCTGGCGAAAAATTATGACATCATCCGGGCATCGGATGCAGAAAACTGCAGTTTTACACTCACACATTTTTTCACAGATTTTAGGCATGATGGTAAACATTAGCTTTGTTTTTGTGACCTACGCGCGTATGCGGCCGAATATTTTACATCTTTTCAGAAAGTCGTGCTCTGCTTAATTAACAACTGAAGCTTTGATATACAGGTACCACTGCATGATATTGAGATTTTCTCTTGTATTTTATTTTGTCAAACGATGCATTAAAATAACTTTCTGATATATATTTTGGACTTTTCTTTTATTCGGAATGACCAGACCCCTGTAATTTGTAAATTTTGTGTGCCGACCATTGGTGAAAATAATTGAGTAGCCCTGCCCAAGACCAAAGCACTATCTACGTGGCAATTGGGCTATCAGTTCCCTAGTCATAAAAGGATTCGAGCTCTTATTCAAGCTTGCATGAGCGTCGAAAGCTTTGTTGGGCGTCGAATTAGTGTTGACTAATAGCACACTGACAATAAAATGAAACCTGATTTACTCTATTACCTTCATAAGTTTCCCGTCATTGCGATGTTTTAAAAACTTGAGCGCAATTATTAAATTAATATTTAGCTCCCCCGTAATATATTTTCTATGTAATTAATATAAGAAGGCAGCTTATCAGCCTTCCTCCTATGTGTGTTATCGTGTTATAAAGCTATCTTTGTTCAACGAGCCTGAACTATTTCTTGCCTAACCTGATTCTGTTAAGAAAAAGACGTGGAAACAACAAAAGTATATCACATGGAAGTTAAATTTATTTTGAATCAGTGAGGCATGTTCGTAATTTTTTTCTATTCTGAATTTTAAAAATTACCCAAATCAAACATTTCAATCTCTAAATTTCACATTTATATCTTCATATTGCAAAATAAGTAATGTGATTGCCAAAGCCGAAATGTTTGCTATTTCTACTCTCAATGAATTTTAAACAATAATTTAATTTATTTGAAATGTCAATCGGATGAACTCTAAAGTAAGATTCAATGATTTATATTTCATTGGTGATGGATCCAGAGAATACAACCGGGCAGACGTCACATTAGATCAGGATCTCACAAATAACCCCATTAAGGTCCCAGGTAGGAGAAGCATTCATCATTCCTTGCAATAACGGGTTGGGACCAGCAAAGAGATAAACATTCGTGTGATCTTTGAAATCAATTCCAGTATTGGGAATACCTTGATCCCATTTAACGAATGAATCTGCAGGTGTGACGTCACGGGTCTGAGAACGAGCAATGAAAATGATTAGATGAAGATTATCATTGGATTATGCTTGATCAACTGTAATTCTCACTAGTCTCTCACGGGCTGTCTATCTCCGTGTGGTCTCATCCTATTATCATTGAAAGTATGAAATTTTGAATATCAAATTTGGGATCCGATAAGTTTAAAGATTTGACGCCAGCCCCGACTCCGGTAGAATCAAAATCAACTCCAAACTCCTGAATGAAATCTTCACTGCGTCACTGATTATAATTAGGACCCAATTATGTTGATGTGTAAAAACTCCTGGATTGGTAACAATGTCATCGTTGTCTATTAAAATCGCTCGTGTAATAATCTCAAATCTCTATTGGGACCTCCAGAAGTATGCGCACCAAGATGGCGCACAACCTTAACTTATTATGTGTGTACCAGTTAGGATTCGGGTTGTGCGACATCTTGGTGCGCCTACTTCTGGAGCACCCTCTATTGTATTTACGGCCCGCTCTCCTTCCTTCACCTGTCTAATAGCAGATCCTTATGTTTCACGAGTATAAATATAATAGGCATAGGACACTAACCTTTGGATCAAACTGGATTCCTGTCCACATTCTAATCCACGTATAACTCTTCGACATACCCTTTATCAAGAAATTCTTGATCGCATTGTAGGATTCTTCATTTCGGATCAAACCAACAACTGCTTTACGTTTCCTACAAATATCAACTGCTGTGTCGTAGACGACAGTTTGTTTCACAAAAAAATAACATATATTTCCAATCTTTAATTCGCAGTTTTCTGAAATTTAATAAATTTATTGAAAAGTGTTATCACTGATCATAGGAAATATTTTGCTGGCACCGATGAACGTGTACTTTTTGCCTCTGCAATTGGTTTCCATATATAATTTGGACTTTGCAAATTTTACGAAACTTCACAATTAGTGTCTGTCTGCTCAGACATCTCATTAAAGCCAGCTCGCTAGGTTTTAGAGAAAGTATCTTACTTTTGCTAACTATAGACCAACTATTACGACAGTTATGAAGTTGTTATTACTGTGGTATTCTGAACAGGGCTGTGCAGTTGTGAAAATTTTCAATCGACTCCCGGGTTGAGAAAAATTTGACTTTAATTTGGGATCAATTTTGACTCCGTCTGCAACTTCGAACTCCCAAAAAATATTATTTCGATAAGAAAGACATGGGCGAACGCAGGCCTCTGTTAACGCTTAGTAAATTGATAACTTAAGATTTGTAACAAATTCGACTTTTCTTATTACCCTTAAAGGTATGAAATTTTGAATATCAAATTTGGGGATCCGATAAGTTTAAAAATTTGACTCAAGCCCCGATGCTACTGATTATAAGTGCTTACCTGGTGACGGGGTTGGTTTCAATGTTGTTTTGGTTGTTGTCGTTGGTCTGTGTGGGTTTCTAGATCGAACCTACTTACCTGGTGAATGGGTTGGTTTCAATGTTGTTTTGGTTGTTGTCGTTGGTCTCTGTTGGTTTCTAGATCGAACCTGTTGAGGCTTCTCCATTGTAGAGAGTTTTTGTTCAATCCGCTCCATTGCTGAATAGAAGAATATAGATAAGTTAGAACAGTATCTACAAAAAAACAAAATGTTTAAATGACAGAATCTCCAATTTTACTTATATCTGCGTGCTTTTTACCTTTCTTCATCTCACTGTTTCCTTGCTTTTGTTCTTCCAATTCTTTGAGAAGCTTGTTGTTCATTGTTTCAAGTCGGATCAAGTCTAACAAAAAATGATCAAATAGAGCGTTGGACGTCTGTGAATGCCAATCCTACTCACTAATATACACATTTTCGAATACAACTTGCATCCATTCTTTGCACAGATTTGGCATTTTGTTTAGCTTGGTACTGTTCCTAGTGTTGGTTTCCACTGCGGATCTTTTTGGTTTGTATTTCAGTATCATGGAAGTGCATTCACAATAGCGCCTATTCCCAAGATTTCGTACAGAAAATGAATTCCTATTACATTGGATCAAATGCCACATTGAAAAACATTGCACAAACCTTTCCTCAATTCTTCACGGCTCTGCTTTAGGTCAGCGATTTCGGCAGAATGCTCTGCATTTACATTCTGTGTCTCACGAATTCCTGCGTAATATATATATATATATCGGTAGTTGGAAAATTGTAAATATTAATCTTGGCAATAATAACTAAGCTCCAAACCAAGATTTCCGTTAGATTTTTTTAAATTTCAACCTGCTTTAGTTATCTAAATTTCTTATGCAAAAACTTTGGTCAAGTTACGAACATACTCCATTTGAGGAAAGTCGGATAACGACTAATCTTATCATTAATACTAACTTGAAATTTCTGTGTATTTTGCAGATTGTTTTTCGATTTTGCTAGATTTGCGATTTTCTGATGGAATAAATAAATTTTCTGATTTTCTGGATATCTGACGTAACGATACAACTTAAACAGTTACCATAAACTAACGTCTACAAGGTAACACGAGTATACAATGTCTGATGACCCAGACGAATAGAATTAAAAGAGTTGTCGCGCCATCCATCAATTATCAATTGATACCAGGACTTCGTTAAAAAAGATAAAAATCCTGTTCAATCAAGCAATTCGGGATGAAAAATTAAATTATGTAAATTCTAACCGGAATATTTCTGCTCCAATGCTTCAATATTTTTTGTGTTTTTATTGGAGTTTCCTTCCAGCTCTTCCAATTCTGATTTAATACTTCCAATATCTGAATGATTTTAAATAGATTATTACCTAGTAGAATATATTCAAATTGTTTGGAACAATTTAAATACACGAACTCATTGAACTGATGAGTTAACTACATTAGCATAAACTGGTTAATCGGTTATAGCTGATTGATTGATTGAGTTTACCAATCCAGTTTACCAGTATTTTATGAAATTATTCTGAGAAGGGTGAAATTTTTGGATAAATATATTGTCATAATAAAATTGGGGGTAAATTTGATTCTCTGTTTGTATTCAACATTATAACATAACATAAGATAATCCATAATATAAATTCAAGTGTATGTAATGAATGCACGATAAAGACAGGCAGTCATGGACCTTTCCCCGACCTTTGACCCCCCGAAAAACTCTTCCTATACTTTACCATTGCAAAATTTTCGGGGCTATTTTATGAGTGCTTTTGCGAGTTGGCGCCTGTAAAATGGGGTATGTGTTTCAAACCATCATTATGATTCATCGTATACAACAATCTGTTTTTTAAAAGTACCGGTAAAGAATTTTAGCCTAGTCTAACACAGCTATTTCTACACTAATTTTTCATTACTGCAATTAAATTAGAACTCCTAGAAAGACGGAGTGATCATTGAATTATCAGATTTATATTTAAGTTTCCGAAACACAACAGAAAACCAACGAATAGAGTTAAAAAAACGCGAAAACGAGGTAATGTTTACGAGCACATTTGAAAATCTGTCTGAGTGGGAAAAGTGTCTGAGCGGATGCGAAAAGGGAGCATTGTTACGTCACTTTTTGCATCTTGCTGATTGGACAATGTCACGAAGTAAACAAGGAGGTCAATGCTTGGGGAAAGGTTTAAAGGATGAGGCTTTCATCACCAATACGTAATTCATCGATCCAATGTCAAAACAGTAAAAAATGGAGACTCGGCTATATTTAGCAATTTTTGCTCGACTCATTTTTGGGCCAAGTAATCTAAAATTATCAAATTAAATAAAACCTGAGAACCCATAGTATTCCTGGATACGAAGGGAAACAGGTTGACAGCATTCTGAGGTTGTACCCTACTCTTAGATTTGCACGTAATAGAAAACTCTTTGTCATGCAGATGTTCATCAATGTTGAAGCCTGGCCTGTCCCAACCTACAGCAACCGGATCACATTGTGCAATCTGGCAACCAGGCTTGGGAGAGCAATGGAACACTGTTTCATCTTGACACCAGGATGAGACGATGACGTAGATTAAGATAAAAACTATTGAGGTTTTCATCTCGAGGTTTCAGGGTATTTACCTTATACCTAGAAAAATCAAAATTGTTTAAGTGTATTTCAACGTAATGCTGAATATATTTGAAAGAAGTTTCTTAGGGAAATTTAATGTAAGGATTAGCGCACCAACTCAAAAAAAGATTTCTCAACTGTAAATTATTCTCCAAGCAAAATCCGGGCGACCACTGACGTCTAAGAGCTACTGTGACCATATACTGCAGCAGGGGCCATAATGCTAGGCACAAAATGGATTTTACTTTTCACTTCCCAAGAAAACCTCTAATTTTTTCTACTTTCATAAGGTAAAATACCACTATAAATAATAAACAGAGGGGCCATGAGTGCGAAAAGGATCGGGAAACAGGCCCTGAGCTATGAAAGGTTGGGAACTACTGCTGTATATATTTATAGCGTCGAGTTACATTCTAGTTGAGGATTGATGACGGGCTAAAAAAACAATTTCTCATAACTGAAGTTCTTGAAGAAAACCTAAGTAATCGGGCGATAACTCACTTTTTCACGGCTAAAATTTTCAAATGTAAATTTTAAAGGATTCTTTACTAATTGTCTTCATTAGAATTAATTGTTATTTATTAGTCTTCCCAGTGCAGTGCCTGTGCATCGCAGTTTTGTAAATCAAAATTTGAAATTTTGTGGGCCATAGCTGATTCTAGGTGTGAATTATTAAGTTTACTTTTTATAAATTATGTTCATATAGGTCAACGTTCTTATACTGTATACCTGGACTCGTAAGTAAGTTACATCGTAATTTTGTATTTAGGTGAAAGGTAATTCCTTATCGCACAGAGTGTGTCGGTATAGTTGAGGACCAGCTTTTACCATTTATACACCAGGCCATGTCAGCAATGATAAATTAAAACATCTGTCTATCTTTACCGTAAACCACGACGCCGATCGTTTCGTTTGACTTCATCGCCTGAGGCAAACGCAACATAATACTAGAAATAGCAAACTTACTAATTCTTACTCGACGATGTTTTTAAAGTTTTAGTCTGAATTTGTAACCAGGTTTGAATATTGTTCTCACCTCACATTCTTGCTATAGCATATATATATAAATATATAGTTCAGCTTCGAAAATAGCTGAATGACTTTAACAGCGATAATTTTTTACTTTTAGAAATGTCTTATTATATTAAACCACGTCTAAAAATTACCAAGTTCAAACCCTTTATTCAAACTTCGAAAACTCAGCTAAATATCCTATCAGCTACTTGCCTTAATCAATGCAATCAATATCAATCTATACCGTTATGTTTTCGTCGCCTCGCTTTTACGCTCAAACATTTACCGCAATCGAATATTTATAGAAGCATACGCGCAGTTATGTCGTGACGTAGTTTCAGATCTTAATCGGATTAGCGATGTCGCGTGAGGTTGATTATGGGACAAACAATGACATCGCAAAATTAATTTTAGCATTTTTCTCTTTTTAAAGAAATCGCAATGAAATATAAAATATAAGTTTACATATGTTATTAAAATTTAATGCAGATTAATCAAAAATATCTGTAAGGTAAGAGAAAATGAAAACTTGTTTATTCAATCTGGCGTATACTGCCAAAGAGACATTAAAAATCACCCAAACTTCTAGATACTGTAATATATAATTTTTTTCTTTAGTTAATTTTGGGAACATGGAGCTCTGAAGCTCTGGTTACCGCTTGTTTTTCTTAGAGTTTCTTCGCAAAAGAGTACACTCTTGTAATCCGCTTCCAATAAGAGATTTACGCACTAAAATCTCTATATGTCTGTGCATGGCGGCCAAATTGGGACTTCGCCGTGGTCGACCAAGTATTGATAGTGTACACCCATCAACACCAAAAAGAGCTGCGAGTAGAATTCTTCCACAAAGGGTGCTCGTTTCGATAAAGAAGGGGTTGGCGTCTTGTGTCAGCCAATAGAATGCGTTGCAGAAAAAGGGGAAGTCAAATGAAAAGCAACATGAACTGTGCAAAATGTGATATATATCTTTGCCTGAGACAATCTCAAAACTGTTTTTGGGAATTCCATCGATAGCATTTACTTCATGAATATTCTTTTTAATTTCTTTCAATTTCTAATATTTGAATTGTTCTGATTTGTCAATTTTAGATTATTTTTGATCAACATATTGCCGAAAATAATGCTTTTCAAGAATTTCAGTTAATCTTCAATCTGGTTTAGACATCCTAGGCTAGACAATATATACAACAGTGGTTACAAAAGTCATGATTGTTTATTTTCATACCCAATATTAGTTTTGCCTGATATTGCTGCCTAAAAAATGATTTGTTTTACGTTACAAGATATGGTGCAATTTTTCCGTGAATCCATGGAGAGTCAAATATGGCACATGAGAAATTTACTCTTCCCCACGGGAGTAGATAACGAAAAAAAAAAAAAGATGGTATTTCATACCCCATGCTACCACTAGGCACCGAGATTAAAGTTATTTTTAAATAAAAAATATTCTAATTTTTGAATATTCGCAATGAACTTTAAAATATAATTTCACATCTGCTTTAAATCATTAGCACTTCAAAAAAATAAATTGTGAAAAAATAAAGTCAGTAGTTTCTTTTTTGATCGAACACAACATTTATGAATAGCATTGCAACTTTTGGATGTGGATTTTGCGGTCAACAGTATCAAAGGCTTTGTTCAGATCGAGAAACTTTTTTCGATCAGATTGAATTGGAAACAAAAATCGAGCATTCTCCAATATAAAATATTTTCTATGGTAAGGCTGTGCATCAGGCTGCTCTACCAAGCCATTTAGTATAGCTCTTCTAAACACTCAGATTTTTCCCATCGAGCATAAAATCCTGACTCGATAGTTTATGTCAGAGAAGGCGCTGACGTGGATAAAAATACATGAAGTTATTTTTGCTCTTGTCGCTGCATTGAATCTTTCGCCGTTTAGTCCGGTGCATCCATTACTGTGATGATAACCGATAGCCGCTATTTCGTCTTTTGTTTTTCCCGCTATTTTTTTTTGTGTGGCCCTGCTAGATCTCAAGTTGGTTATATTGCCCATTGACAAAACATTTTGCACACCTCTGTTCTAGGATAATTTCAATAGATCGTAGGGTGGAAAATCAAATCAAAACTATATTTCTGTTTGTATTTTCAAGTATATTTTAATTACTAACTATGACATCATATTGTAGAAGAAATTCTTAGAACCCCACAGTGAAGTTGGTAGTAATGGTCAATAGGGTGACGAAAATTAACCTATATTGATTGAGCACGTGTGCTTTATCATAGTTTCGTCGCCTCGCTTTTATGCCTAAAAATTTACCGCCTTCGAATATATATAGAAGCATACGCGCAGTTATGCTGCGACGCATTTTTATATCTTAATCGGATTATATATAACGCGTGACTTTCGTTATGAAAAAATGACATCGCTGGATAAACTGTTATTTTTTGCAATAATCTATTTTAAAAAATATTGTAATAAATTAAAAATAAGAGTTACATATGCTATTATAATTCATTCTAAACTATTTGTTTTCACCACTTGACTTTTTTGGAGTTCGACAATAAAATATCTTTAAACTTTATACTGAGGTCACATCCGAATTTTTGGTCTAACCTGAGTCCTATTCACGACCCACTTCCCTATCTCCCTCAGACTTCCTGTCCGCGGCCCACTACCCTGTATTATCACTACATGAGCTATCTCAATTCAGTGAATCTGGAATTTTTTTTGCACAGCCTGATTGTTTTGAGAAACAGACATGAAAACAAAAAAAGATATCACATGGTAGCTAAATTTATTTCTAGTTAACGAGGCAAACTTGTAATATTTTTTATTTCAAAATTTCTAAAATAAAATTAAATATTAAAATATGCGAAATTAACATATATACCGTCATAAAAGTTCGATCGAAAACGGCAAAAAAATCAAACAGACAAATGTTCAATATTTTTAATCTGACTCTCAATAAATTGTTGACAACAATTCAATCTAAGTGAAATGTCAATTGTAAAAATTTCAAACCAATATTCAATGAGTTATATTTTACTAATACAATATAACCTGGGGACAGAATGCAACGAGACAGATGTTTCATTAGATCTGGATCTCACAAAGAACTCCATGAGCCTCCGAGACACGACGAACATTTATCATTCCTTGCACTTTCGCGTTGAAATGAACTACGAGAGAAACATCCGTGAGATCTGTATATTCAATTCCAGTGCGTGGAAAACTTTGACTCCATTTTATGGATGAATCTTCGGGTGCGACGTCATGTGTCTGAGAACAAACATTAAAATGTTTAGATGAAGATTTTTATTGGCTTATGCTTGATCAACTGTAATTCTCACTGATATGTCATATGCTGCATAGAATTGATTCATCCAAAACTGAACAATTATTATAAAATTAAACTCTGATTAGGATATTCGATGTCACTCGTACAGACTCATGACAATTCGAAAGCATGAGACTTTTGAACAAGAATGAACAAGAAGTAACCAGGTATTTAGCGGATTCCTAATTCACTTGACATACATAATTCTATCACAATCATCAAGACTGATGGTTTCCTCTAATCAGCAGGTCCAACTATACTGATGTGTAGAAAGTCCAGGATTGGTAACAATGTCATCATTTACTTTTAAAATTGCTCGTGTGATATTTTCAAGTATTTGTTGCTGTATTGTATTTGCGGCCTTCCCTCATTCATTAGTCTAATAGCCGATTCCTATGCCTTACGAGTATAAATAGAATATGCACAGGATACTAACCATTGGATCAAAGCGGATTCCTGTCCTTATTGGCATCCCCGTATAACCTTTTGGAATATTCCGTCTCAGGAAATCTATAATCGCATTGTAAGACACTTCTTCTCGAATCAAACCAACATCTGCATTACGTTTCTTACAAATATCAACTGCTTTGTCGTAGCTGACATCATTTTCAACTCGTACCACAGCAGAATAACAGATATTTCCAATCTTCAATTTGCAGTATTCTAAAATTTAATGAAATTCGTTTACAGTTTTACAAACTTAAAAAAGTGTTATTATTAATCGTAACAAAAAGTTTGCCGGCACCAATGAACGTGCAATTTTTGCCGCTATAATTGGTTCCCATATCTAATTTACACCTTGCAATTTTCACGAGACTTCACAATATGTGTCTGGTTGGATATATACTCCGTCAATTACTCTTGCTAACTAAAAAACTCCTACGACAGTTATGAAGTTGTTATTTCTGTGGTATTCTGAACAGAGCCGTGAGCTTGGAAATATTTACAATCGACTCCTGGGTAGAGAAAACTTCAAATTTTGAGTCAAAATATCTAATTTTGGTAAGAAAGACACAGGCGTATGCAGGCCTCTGTTAATACCGCGTAGTAAACTTGATAACTCAAGTTTTTGTAAGAAATTTGACTTTTAATATTTCCATTGGAAATATGGGGGGAAATCCGATAATTTAATAATTTGACTCCAGCTCCGATGAAATCAAAATCGACTCTAAACCCGCCCAATGAAATCTTCACTTCGCCACTGACTATGGAGGTTTACCTGGGGAAGGAGTCGGTTTCAATGTTGTTTTGGTTGTTGTCATTGAAATCTGTTGATTTCCAGATTGAACCTGTTGAAGCTCCTCCATTGCAGTGAGTTTTGTTCGATTCGATCCATTGCTGAATATAAGAAAATAGAAAAGTTGGCGTCTATTTGCCAGCATTAACAAAATCGAAATGCTGTCAGTGGTAAAATTGCCAATTTGGTTGCAGTTGAACTTGTAGCCAACTTGACGAAAAGAGCACAAGTCTTTAGTAGAGTCTATCTATACTAACTTTCATATACAGTACCTAACATGACTCGAATCTACTAAACCTATGAAGCTAGCTTTATATTTAAACCCATTTTTCGTTAAAATATTCGAAGTTTCCCCGTTTTTGTAAGTTTTTGTTCAATTCGAGATATATCCAGACCAATATTCAGATTATAAGACATATTTGCTCCGCCTAAACACGCAATGTTTCATTCCAATGTCAGAATATTCTTGCTTGTTATTTTAAAATTTATTTTTTAACTACAGCGGTTAATCGACACCAAGGAATGCTTTAAAGACCTAGAGTAACAGTTGCTACCTTTTTTCATCGCATTATTTGTTTTATTTTGTTCAATCAATTCTTTCTCCAACTTATCATTTCTTTCTTGAACTTCGATCAATTCTAATAAATTGAAATGATTTTTAAAAAAAATGGCAATAATACTGGAAAACGTCATGGTTGTCAGAGATGCAATAACGTATCATGTACATGAAATGCATAAACTTTATGTCACATCCTGTCTGGTCTATCGCAGTTTGTTTGAGACTAACTTTCATGATTACTAGAACTACACTAAAATCCTCAAGTCAAGTCAAAAAGTGTTTGATTGTACCAAGACGATCCAGAACGAACTTGTTTATGCATTTTGGTAAACGATTTCTATACAGCACACTGACATATTCAAAATAACAAAAAGTGATAGCCAACTAGCAATAGCAACAATATGTAACCACTAAAATTTTAAATCAATTGATTCAGTAGATAAATAAAAGCCGATTTTTAATAAAACAAGAATCAACATAGCAACAATACGATTCATAAGTTCAATTTGTGTCCAATAAGCCACTAGAAAGAGTATTTTGGGACGACGTAGATCATATGACTCAATGTCAAATATCAATTGCAGAAACATAATGTCACTGACCTTTTTTCAATTCATTGACCACAGAGTTTTGTTCTTTGTTTTTTTTCAGTAGAGTTTCAATTTGGCGAGATTGCTGAAGAGCGTTATTTCGAAAATCTTTTATTTTGTTTGATTGTTCCGCAATTTCGCTACGATGCTCTCGGATTTCTGGCAGAAAATATTATAGTTTCAGTTTTTCTATACCAGCTTTTTCTGAAATAATCTCTAAAATTTTCAATAAATATTATTTATCCCATAACTGATATTATTTATACTTGAATCCGTACATATTAACAAGGTGGACGATGTTGACCATGTTTGCGCATTAGATATTTCCTATTCAAGCTGAGTGTTTAGCCCAAATTAAATGTACTCACGGACCGGCAAAAAATTGAAATGACCGGAACAGAAAGAATAACATATATTTGCGTAATATAATGCAATGTCAGGCACTCAATATGCTTCTAAACAAAAAAAGCACACCTAAAAACATTTCACACAAAGAAAAACTATCAAATAATGTGCCGGGCACTCAGTACGGTGCTTATGCGTAAGGAAAAAACACACTCCACATAAAAACATGTGCATGCCAAATCATGTACAAACGCAATTACTAGTGGGAAACGCAACTCTAGTGGGAACTTTGCTGCTGTTTCGTTTCCAATATAGGATTGCAAACGATGCTTCAAGGAACTTTATGAAACACGTAGCTCTGCAGTGGCGTGCAACTGATTTTTTTGCTCGTTTTATTTAAATCTAGTTATAAAAATGTTTTTTCGCATAAGGCATAAGTAACTGGTTTAGAATACGAACAAAAGTTTGATTACTCGATCACTTAGGAATGGGTAATCGTTATCAAGAGATATCCAAAATTGTGACACTGACTATTTTTAAATCTGAACTGTAATTTAATCAAGCTTTTGCTTTTTCATCGGGTTTGCCATATGATTGACGCCTCAAGCGAAATGAAGTACATTACATCACAAACTTGGCACCAGGTTCAAATCCTATTGTGCCTGCTTAAAATACCCGAAAAGATCTCTGCGGCCAATGCATTTTTGCGCGTCTCGTGACTACCTGGAGGGTGGCAACAAGTCCATATCTCTTGCTGAAATGTTAAACGGTTCTCGACTGTATCCTGGTTTATCATATTAATCAGGAAAAGCACGCAGAACAGAAGAAGCACGCGTGCCTACTTTTAGGTTTCTGAATAAAGCGAGATTTGTGTTACTCGGAGCCAAGCAGACGCGAAAGACGTCGCAATATGACGTCGAAAGACGTCGCAATATGACGTCGAAAGAGAAATTGCGTAATAAACCAACGCAACTTCGTCTCCGGTAAAGCGATTGAGACGGAATAAAAACAACGAAATTTCTCGCGGACCGGCAAAAAAGCTTTGCGGACCGGCGGTTGGGAACCACTGGTATACGCTACGCATATGTTGGCCAAAAATAAAAAATTGAATACATTATAAGATGAACTGACCAGAATTTGCTCTAGCAAGGTCATCTTTTGATTCTTCTAACTCTGATCTGATATTTCTTATATCTGCGCAGAAAAAGACATACGAAGTGAAAAGCAACAATTCAAAAAGCTCAATCACGGCGACCGCTGAAATGTCAAGTGCTATCGAAACGATATGTCATAATGGCAGCTAATAATAAAGAAAACTCATTTCTGAATGAAGTTATGGCGACCACTGAATGTCAGAAAACTGTATAGAATTATAATATTTAAAAAAGGGTTCCATTGTATGCTTTTAATTATCATAGATATGACTTTAGTAATACATAATGATCATAAAGGACAATAAAAAAGCTTAATCAATATGTTTCGCCGCTAACACCAACTCTGATAACCCACGTGATATTCGACCGTTCACACTTACCTAAAATATTTCTAGTTACGACAGGAAGCAAGTTGCCAGAATTCTTTGATCCCGTGTTATTCATAGATTTGCACGTAATCGGAAACTCTTTGTCATGCAGGTGTTTATCAATGTTGCCCATCCTACAGCAACCGAATCACATTGTGCAATCTGGCAACCCGGCTTTGGAGAGCAATGAAACACTGTTTCATCTTGACACCAGGATGAAGCGATGACGTATATTAACATAAAAACGATTGAAATTTTCATCTCGATTTCAGGATATTTACGTTATAACTGAGTGAATAAAAATTGTTTGTGTTTATTTGCACATGAAACCGTGGATATATCAGGAAATGGATTCAATGACGTTCAAACTATGAGCTTGCTGCTGTTTTTAATGACGCTGCTCACTAACCCTTTAGTTGTTCTAAAATCAGAAAAACAGTTTTACAAAATTTTGCCCAAATCAAGCTCACGATATTTCTTCTGGGAACAAAGGTAACTAATCTCTAAGCGTGCGGGCGACCGTTGAAATGCCAAGGGCCACTGAGATGATTAAATAATGCATCGAATAATTCCGGATGAAATTTGAGAGTTTGACGACTAAGATTTTCAAAATGTTTGTCCAATACATTTTCTAGTAATTGCCTAGATCTCGTTCTGAAAATATTCAATGATAAGAATTCATTTCTAATCGACTTCATCGCAATTTTCTGTTACCTTTACCTGTTGTTAACGTAGTTTAAAGTATATGTGTTGGCAGGGTCGTTTTTATGCTCAGTTATTAAATAATCTTCCCAGGGAGTGCCCGTGTTTATGTTTCGTAGATTAGAAAACTAAAATTTAAATTTCGTGAACTTTGCATACGTTTACGTGATATTTAGTGGCCAGGCCCTAATCTATTACTGTGCGTCCTCAATCGGCCATACGCTCCACGTTAATTCTACACGCAAATTATGAAATTCAATTTTATATATTATATTTCTATAGATAGGGCAGCGTTTTTATACAGTATACCTGGACTCGTAAGTGAGTTACATTGTAATTTTGTAATTAGGTTAAAGACAATCCGGCCCTAACCATAGAGTGTGCCGGTATAGTTATGGACCGACCCTGGCCATTCATGGACCAGGCCATATTAGCAATAATAAATTAAAACAGCCGTCTATCTATACACTGCGACACCGATCCTTTCGTTTGACTTCATCGCCTGAGGCAAACGCAACATAAGACTCGAAATAGCAAACCTTATTCTTACCTGACGATGTTTTTAAAGTTTCGGTCTGAGTTTTCAACCAAGTTTGACAATTCTTCTCATCTCACATTCTTGCTATAGCATATATATATATTTATAGTATATATAAACTCATAGCATAGTATTTTACGCTTCGAAAGTAGCCGAATGGCTACAGCAACAATTCCGCCGTCAGAAATGTCTTATCGAATCACGTTTAGATATTACAAAGTTGAAACCTTTTCATCCAAACTTTGAAAACTTAGCTAACTGTTCCATTAGCAACTTGCCTTTATGCAATCGATATCAAACTATACTGATATGTTTTCGTCGCCTTGATTTTATGCTTCAAAATTTACCGCAATCGGATATATATAGAAGAATACACACAATTATCTCATGACGCAGTTTCGGTTTACTGATGTCGCGTAATAAACAATGACATCGCAGAATGAATGTTAGTTGTTTGCAATATTCTATTTTTAGAGAAATTACAATGAATTTTAAAATATGAGTTACATATACTATTAAATTTCAATGCAAAGTTATTTAAGTTTATATGTAAGTTAAAAGAAAATAGAAATTTGTTTATATAAGCTGGCGTATACTGCTAAAACAGACCCTAAAATTACCCAAACTGTCAAGTAGTGTATCATTTTTCAATTCTATAGTTAACTATGTGAACAAGAAGCTCTGTGTAAATGGCTTACTGAAAGGAGAGAAATGTAGCCGACAAAAACTCCAAGGCAGTATCAAGTAGTATTATTCGTATCAGTATTATTCGCTGTTTGAGCAATCTCTATCATAAATATATTTTCTATACTTCTACTATAACATAAACTAAACCTCAAACCGACAACTTTTGGTTAAATGGATTGGATTACTCCGACACATCGGAACAGATTCAGACTTAAAAAGCAAATTGAAGACGGCAACGAAGAAAACAACAACAATATAAACAATTTTGGATCAATTAATGTATATAAAACACTCCAGACGGTGATAATATCAAGTAAAAACAAAGACGTTAAGCTGTCGGATAAAAACAGTCTTAAAATAAGGCAGGAAACCTCCAAAACAGTTGAAAATGTACACACAATCCGCAAGATGCCTTCAGGAGACCTGAAAATTGAATGCAAAAGTTTAGAAGATGTAAAAAAAAATGACCAGCATCAAAATATTCCAAAACATAGAGGTAAAATGTGATCAATATGTCAAGTACCAAAATACTATGTATAGTTTTAACTTGCTCATATAAATACTTTTAATTGCTAATACAACAAGGACCAAAAATGTACTGGCGTTGTGAAAAACATGTATATTGACATCAGCATAGAAGAACTAAAAGCAGTGGTGTTTCACAAGACCGTCGCATCATGAGAATATCGAGCTCCAATAGTGAAAAAACCCTCAACAAAAACCGTGGTTGTGACTTTTTACTCATTTACACATTTATCATCATACATTTATCTGGGTTATGAACAATTCCCAGTGGAACAATACATCACAAGATGCTACAATTGTCAACGGTTTGGACACATTGCTAAATTTTGCAAGGCTACACAACGTTGTGCCAACTGTGGATCGAACCACTCCACAACTCAATGTAAGTCAACCATAAATGTTATAGATGCCAAGGCAATCATAGTGCTGTGAGCCCCCAATGTCCACAATATAAAAGTCAGAAAAATATTCAAATGAAACAACTTGTATCATATGCAGATGCTGCTCGTGTGGTTGAAAAGAACTCAAAAGAACTGACAATATAAGAAACAGTCTGCCTCAACAGTTGAGCGATGCCCCATCAACATCAACAATACACACATCGACAAAAGTAAGAGAGCCAATTAAAAGAGATATCGGTAATCAAACAAAATTAAAGAATATTATATATCACCTTCAGCCCACAGAACAATCTGTACCTACACCTATAATGGATACCATGGTTCTCGTTGGTTTCATTTTAGATATAATAAAAAAAAGTTATGACATTGGAAGTACCTTCAGAAGAGGAGATAGTAACAATAATCACCAGTGCAGCAGAATCCAGATTCCACATCAACATCACTACTGATGACCTCAAATCTTTGCCTAAAACAAGAAATATAGAATCTATGGAAAACTCTGTAGAAATGACAGAATCAGTACAAGCGATAGATACACAAATGCCAATAAAACATTAATAGGCTTTTCAATACTGCAATAGAATTGCCGCAGCATCAGAAACAAGGACTTGGACTCGGTCCATCTTATATACCATATGGCAGAAACACCAGACATTATATGCTATGCTTACAAAAAACATGGCTGAATTTAAATGACACATTTGAAATACTAGGATAGAACAAGAAGAAGAGGAGGTGGTTGTCTCAGCAATAAAAAATGCTCATTCTTCCAAAGAATCTATTATAAATATCAGCAATATGGAAATACAAGCAGTGGAAATAGATGGGCTCAATATAGTGAACGTATATGGAACAAACTGTAATCAGTAATTTATTTTATCACCAGAAAATACACACTGTACATACAGAACGAGATTAGAAAAGAGAGGAAAATAATGCATTTCGGGGTGGAAGGGGACGCGACAAACCAGCATTGGTTATCGAGCAGCGACACCTATGAATAGTCTAACATTGATTGGGTCATACAAGAACTTAAAACTTAACAAAGAACAACCTAGACCAAATGCTCAATTGTCTTGGGAGGAGAACTGTACTATGTGGTGATTTGAATGCCCAAAACACTATCTGATATAGCTCACAGACAAACTATAGAGATCTGGAAGTACAATCATTCATTGAGCAAAATAATATTGTTTTGCTAAACGAGGACTCCACAACTAGAGAAGCCAGAGTACATCAGGGATCAATCATTGATCTTTGTATAACTACAAATGATATTGCCCATGCATGTACTATGGAAACACTACAAGAAAATCTGAACAGTGACCACAACTTGCTGTGGATAACAGTGAACAAAATTTCAAATTTAGATCCTGCTTCAAAATCACAAAATATATCAACGAAAAATACAGATTGGATAAAATATAAATTTGAATGTTTTGAGAACATAAACGGTGCAACAATAAACGAAAATATAGATGAATTTAATACTAACCTGTCGCTTGGAATAATACAAAGTGTCATAGCCTCTAGTCCCATCCCAGTAAAAAGACACATAAGAAATCTCATACCATGGTGGAATTCGACTTGTAGTAAGGCTGTAAAACAAAAAACAAGCATATAGAAGGGCCAAGAGAACATGTTTACCACAGGATCTCATTAATTATAAAAAGATTGAGGCTTTGACCAAAAAAATTATATTGCAAAAAAAAAAGACAATACTGGACAAACAAACAACTTCTTTGGTACTCTAAAACAAATCCTAAAGAGGTCTGGAATGCTATAGTATAAATAGTATGAGAGGAAATACAAAAACCCAAAACCACAAATATTAATCAATGATCGGACAATAACGTATGACATAGAAAAAGCAAACATCTTTGCGCAATCATTTGCAGATATTGTATGCAAAGACAATACAGGAGAAACTTCTACTATGAACAGAATAATTCGGGAAAACTACTACCAAAATGTTAAACAAAGTATATTGCAACAAAAGGCTCAGCCACAAAGATCATACAACAGACGTATAACAATATTCGAATTGAACCTGGCGCTTAAAGAAACAAGAAATACAACACCAGGTCTGGACAAAATAACATATCATGTGATAAAACATCTCCCTGGTCCAAGTGAAGGAATTTTATTGCATTTCTACAATACAATTTGGGAAACAGGTCAAATGCCTGAATCATGGAAGCATTCAATAATGATACCGATTTTGAAAACGGGTAAACCAAAAGATGACCCAATGTCTTACCGACCCATATCGCTGACATCATGTTTATGCAAAATTTTGGAAAAAAAATATTGTAGAACGACTAAGGACCTATCTGGAATTTAACGGGAAACTAAACTCAGTGAAAAGCGCATTTAGGAAACAAATGTCAGCTTTGGATACTCTTATATGCCTACAAGATGACATACTCAAAGCATTACAAACCAGACATGTAACATTAGCCATATTCTTAGACTTTCACAAAGCTCATGACACAGTTTGTCCCAGTGGATTGCTGGGCAAAGTAGCAGATTTGGGGGTGGAAGGACATATGCTTTATTGAGTGTCTTGAAAATTTTTTTACGAAAAAGATCATTTAGCGCCAAAGTGGGAAATGAAATATCGCAAAACCGTACCATACGTGGATTGCCTCAAGGTTCTAGTTTATTTCCTGTTCTATTCAATATAATGGTGAATGACCTTCCATCAATTGTAAATGATGCAAACTCAGGCCAATTTGCAAACGATTTCCCTAGAAAGAACAATGCAAATAAATTTGGACAAAATAAATGAGTGGTGCGAAATATGGGGAATGACTCTATCTGTCACAAAATGCAAAGCAATGCTATTCAGCAGAAGAAGACATAATCCCAACATCAACCTCAAAATATCAGAACAATTTATACCAATAATTAACAAGACAAAATATCTCGGTGTCATTTTGGATAAAAAAACTAAATTGGAAAGACCATGTGGAATATATGATAACAAAAGTTAAACAACGATTAATTATTCTTAGATATATCAGTGGAAACAAATGGGGATCAAGACTGCATACAATGGTTCTTCTTTATATATCACTAATTCGCTCTGTATTTGATTATGCATGTCAGCTATATTGTTCTGCATCTAGGACACTATTGACAAAACTAGATACAATTCAGAATGATGCATTGCGTATTTGTCTTGGAGCTATGAAAAGCACACCGATCGATGCAGTACTACATGCCTGCTCAGAAATGCCCACTGTAAAAAATAATAAAATTTGATAATATATACACCTCATACAATTTGAACAGTAGCATTTCATCCATTACGCACGTCATTAATACAGTATCGGACCACATTTTATGCCCGCAAATTAATATTAAACAAACGAAAAAAATGCGCTGGGGAAAGGGGGTACCTGGCGGAACAACATTATGCTTTATGGTGACCAGACTTACATCAAGCTAATTCAAAACACTTATAATTCCGCTCTTCCTAAATTAAATGACTATGATTCGTTACTGGACTGGTGGGACTATATAAAAACTAAAATTAAGAAAGACACCATTGCATTTTCCCAAAACCTATCCCGGGACAAAAAGAATAACATATGTCAACTATGAGAAAGTTTAACAAAACTTATAAACGAGGGCATCAAGGGAAATGCAATGAAAATACAAAACTACAAATCGAAACTCAATACCCTGCTAGAGGAGCGACAGAAATTGGACATCCTGATGGCGAACCTGGAGGACGGTGAGAAGCCGACAAGAACCTTCTACGAAAGTATCCAACGGAGGGCCAAGCAAACCACTATAGAGCGCCTGAAAGACCAAAATGGTTGCATGACCACAAATGAAAACGAGGTCATGGCAACAATTGAGGACTTCTATGGAAGTTTGTGGGGAGGCGGGTGCGAGACCGACGCGCAACATCAAGAACACTATCTCTCGCTAATGAGTACTAGCTCGATATCGGACATAGATAACTCCATCTTAGAGCAATACGTGACCGCCGACGAGATATATAGCGCGATAAAATCTATGCGCAATAATAAGTCGCCCGGCCTGGACGGTCTATCTAAAGAATTTTATACAACGTTCTGGGGAACTATAAAAAAACAATTCACCCAATTGATCAACAACATCATAATTTTCGGCCAACTTCCCAAAACATCAAAACTAGCAAAAGTAAAACTACCGTATAAAAAAGACGAAGAATCGGAACTTAAGAACTGGCGCTCTATCACAATACTCAACTCGGACTATAAAATATTATCGAAAATTTTAGTGAAACGATTAGAACCCGTCCTGGCATATATAATTAGTCCATCACAGAAATGTGCGCTACCGCGAAGGACAATGTTTGACGTTCACTATAATACGGAGGCTATAATTCGATACTGTAAAACTAAAAATATACCTGGATCATTAGTTCTAATAGACAACTTGAAAGCATCTGACAACGTAAATCACAAATTCTTACTGGACATCTTAAAACAAAAACCGGATTCTGAATTTAATAAAAAACATATACTCCGCCAATAGGAGTCGTGTGGACGTAAATGGCAGGCTAACCGAGGAGATTACCGTCCGGCGCGGCATCAAACAAGGATGTCCATTTAAGCATGCTTTTATATACCGTATGTGTCGAACCCTTAGCCAGATCCGTCATCATGAACAAAAATATACGTGGCATTAAACTAGGTACGCACGAGCATAAATTAGAACAATATGCGGATGACGTCACTTTTGCTGTATGTGATCAACCGTCCATCACGGAGCTATTTCACGAATTTGAAAAATTTCAATTTGCATCTGGCCAAAAAATCAACAAAGAAAAGACCCAAATTTTCTGCATCACCAAACGCTCTTACAATTGGATCTACAATTCTACATTCAGGCAACATATTAGAGAAGACGTGAAAATTATTGGACTTAACTTCGGGCAAAAACGGTTGGACAAAATCTGGGAAGAAATTCAAATAAAATATACAGCATGTGATGTACAGCATTTACCGAACCCCCGGGGTGAAGTCTGTGCCGTGCTATGGCGCACCTAAGACCGAAGCCACAATATCCTATGACTGCTGCTTATGCAGTGGCATGCTTATGAAGCGTTATTCCGATAAAGCTCGGATATGACGTGTCTTTTAGACACTGATCCGAATTTGGGAAATTTCTGATCTGTAATAAAAAAATCAAAAAAAAAAACCGACATTATTGCTGACATTATTCGCTATTTGATTAAGGCCCTCGATAACGAAGAAAACGAAAGACAAAGACGATGAGCTACGCCGCCGCCGCATCCTCGACTCCTGCCACAGAAGAAGTTTCCGCTGCTGCATCATCTCGACCTTGGACGCTCTTCCTGAAGACCGGCGAAAACATGGATTTCCCCAAGATGATGGACGTCCTCCGGAACAACACCACAACAAGGAGGTTCTGCGACCAGGTGAAAAGGCTGTTCGAGGGCCGCAGAGTGATCTGGATCCTCACCTTTGCGCCAACGGACAGCCCGAATTCTAGCTGCAGAGAGAGTTTTCTTTCTTCTACAGGTGGCCTAATACAAACGGCTAAGAATAACATCACTGTGACACTACCAAGTAAAGCTCCTGTCCGGATCTCCATACGGGGAATTCCGGCGGAAACTCCATACAACATGGCGGTCACCAAGATCAACAAGCTGGGCTGTGGAACGGTACGGAATGCAGTCCAAAATTGGTAACGAGGGACCGACGTCTACAACGGGCACACGTCATTCCTAATGGACGGTTTTAAAAAAGACCGTCTGCCGGAATACGTGGTTATCAATGGTGAAAGCTGCAAGACTCACTTACTAAGAGAATGTCAACAACGAAAGCGTGATCCAGTCTTCACCAACCCTGTGACAGGATGGAACATGCCTCCGCAGAAAAGAAAACCCCTGCGAGAACATACGCAACAACCACATCAGAAGGTCGTTCAATCTGCTGAAACAACAGAGCAGAGCCAGAGTGACGTGCAACCTGCCGAAACAACAGAGCAGAGCCGAAATGACGTGCAACCTGCTGGATCAACAGAGCAGAGCCAAAATGATGCACAACCTGCTGTATCATCTTACGAGGTACGTGAATTTTCTTCTGACTTCGAAATAAATTGCCTAAAAGAAATAAAAAAATGATCGGAATGTGAAGATGTCGACAACGTCGTGAGTCCAATCAAAACTCCATCACCACAACGGCTATCTAGACCAAGGCAAGTCTACAGATTGAAGAAGTCATCGACAATTGGCAACACGCCATTCCATCCCCTTTCAAAGGGAAATCCTTACATCAAAGTAAGGATCAATAACTTTGAGTCCTGCGACACCACGTCTTCGTCGGTCTTCGACACAACACCGAAAGCAACACCATCTGCGCCAGTCAGCCAAACCGCCGTCAATTGTGGATCTGACAGGGGACAGCAACAAAAGGAGCAGAGACACAACAACATCCACAGATTCCTCGACACCTCAGACAACCACCCAAAGAACTCGCGGTAAAAAGAAAAAATAACTACAAATTTCGTCCTCATTCAACCAAATTTCTCTGCTCTTACCTTATTTAGATATTTTGAACAATTCAAATCACAATT